GCAGACAACCAGAACCAGAGCTTTGTGCCTCCTGTACGCTGGGCTGAAGCAGGAAGGTGCCCCAGAAGAGAGGAGTGAATCAGGGCACAAAGTTTGCAGGTCTCAGTGAGCACATTGCAAAGTTGTTACCCACCAGCTCCGTCACAAGCACACTTGGACAGACCACACTTCGCCAAATTCATCAATTTCCATCCCATTATGAAAGCTGGGGAGTTATGGGTTTTATGGGCTGTTTCCTTTTGGTCAAACCACTCCATGGGACAGCGCTTGACAGGCCATTGTGGTCTGGGAATCAGGCTATGGAAGACAATCCTGCCAGGTGAGTCACCTGTGCCAGGGAGCAGTACACAGGAAGCTTGTTCTTTCCATGCCAGTGCAGGGCACAAAGGCATGATCCTAAAAGTGACACTCTGCTTCTGCTGCTCACCTGGAAACACAGAAATCAGGGGCTGGAGAGACCTACAGGGTCACCCTGCTCAACCTACTGAGCCAACAGGGGATCAGATTGACCTCTGTGATATTTTTGGCACATTGGCCAAGGCTCCAGAGAAGAAGGTACCCAGAAAGTTGCTTCCTGTTGGTCACTGAGCCTGCTGAAATGTGTTTTCCTCCCATACTGTAGGATGCCATAACAAAGGGCAGCTTGTCCACATTTATTCCTTCGGGCAGCCCCCATCATGCTGCACACCTGACATCTACTTCCATCTCCCACTCTGGAAGAAAACCAGTATTGCTGCCCTCCTGAGAATATCTAATGCAGGGCTCCTCTAGTCACAGGGCTTACTCAACATCCTTCTTTTCTTCCCTTAAGTCTCAGGACTGGTTTTTCCTTGAAGGCAGAAGAAACCTGAGCACTAGAGAATAGCTCAGAGCCTCTCTGTCCACCATCCTTGGTACATGCCAGCTTTTGCCTAAGCCAGCTGTGTCTGCTTGCCAGGAGAAATTCTGGTATCTCAAAATCCACCAGTTTACTCAGAGCTGTGTGCTGTGTCCCTTTCCTGGATTTTGCAATCTGTTCAATTCTGCTATGTGAAATCATTCCCAAATCATTTGTCAACTTTAAAAAAAAGAATGGGCTCTAATATTTCCTTTTGATACAGGCCCTAGGGTTGCTTATGTCCTTTGACAGGAGGTCCAGAGGCAAGCAGATGTTTCATTCATGTCCTCTCAGCAGGGCACAGAAAGAGCAATGGACACGAAGCGATGCCTTCAGCTACCTCAAGCCCTTTACAGCCCAGTCTGTGTTTTGCTCCAGTCCTCAAGCTCCGCTTAAGTACAAGAAAGTCCTTAGCAAGAGTATGCAAGCAGGATTTGGGTAGGACCCAGACCTGAGACTCTCCTTTGAAGAGGGATCTTTTGCCCTGATTGAGCACAAGGCGCAGCACCCGTGGGACAAAGGATTTGCACAGGAATCCAGTGGACAGAAGAACTCGGGGAACAAACACTGCTGAGCAAACACTGAAGGAAGCCCACTGAGGAGTTATACAGGTCTAGACCAGCAGGCTGGGATAACTGACCTGCCCACTCACTTTCCTGCCCACAATTAGTGCTGACTGCAGCAACACTTGCTGTTTGCAGACTTGTATTTTGAGTTTCTCAGTCTGCTTTGCTCACAGCACCTGCTGTGTGAAATGAGCCAGTACCAGCTCAAAGCCTAAGAGAGATGGAGCAGGTGTCTAAGGAAGTTCAGGGCTCCAGAGCACAGGGGAACATAAGAGACTGGAGAAGCTTTGGAAAAGCCATCAGGATTGTTAGGGGGCAGACCACATGATGGATAGAGGCTGTTGGGGCCAAGCATCTTTTTCCTCTGTGTCATAACCAGCACAGAACATGTTCTCAGTTACTGCAAAGTAAGTGGATTCTTTGCAAGTGGTCCTATTAACATATGGGAGTTCAAGGACCTTCAGTTTCTTTGGGAGTTGTCCACCATCATGTGGGTGAAAGAACAGACCTTTTTTTCCTTACCACAGCAATTTTGCCACAAGGGTATTTTACTGTAAAGAGAAGAATGCTAAAATTAAAGATGGAGGGAAACACCAACACAAGGAGAAACTCCTTGGAAATACCATCTCACAATATATAGTGCTGCTTCCTCATTCTCCGACAATGGAAAAGACTTGGCACATGAAACCAAGGAAGAAAGACCATATGGTTTGAAAAATGAGTGCTCTTTCCTCATCATGAAGGGTCTCTTTCAGCTTCCATCTCACAATCATGTTTTGAAAGTGTTTAAATTTTAATACACCATTTTCAATTTGTTTTTAACAAATTTAATGCATCATCTTCCATTACTTACATTGACATATTCATGTAGTTCCTCTTAATAAAATGTACTTAATTTGGGAACTGAGTGAAATTATTTATTTTAGGAATAATATTGCCAATGACAGCAATTTGTTATTACCTATATGTAATCTTTCCAAACCTGCAATGATTCATCTACATATCCTCAGTTTTGCAATCTCTTTTTGGTGGTCACTGTATTATGATGTGCACAGAAGCCTTTTTTTACGGGAAGATGAAGTAATACATAGTGGTCAGAGTCTACATAACTTACAGTGAATCCTGTAAAACCAGATAGGACATTTCTATATTGCAATTACTGGCTAAAATCCATCAACTTTTATTTCCTTAAAGGTCATCTCAAGCCTTCTGCATGTCTTTTGCCTGCTGAGCTGTTAATTTAAAGACACAGATACCGGCATGATAAACAGAAGTTAATAAAATCCCCAAAGTTTACGAAACACTGTTAAATTCACATGAGCAGGCCAAAATTCTGTTCTGTGCTGCTTAGAGCGCCAAAATTTTCTCACTGTATCCATCAAGATATGAGCTTGAGTTTGTAGTTATTACCTCTTACTTCAGGCTGCCCACATCTATGTTGGCATCTCGAGTTCTGCAGCCTTTCTTCCTTTCCTGGACACAACTGGCTGACCTGACTCCAGGGCCGCAGCCACACATGCCTCGTAAACTCAGTTACGTGGAGGACAGAGAGGCATTTTGAGACACATTTCATGTAGGAGCTCATTCTCCCACCCATCTCATTCCTTTTCTGGTGCTCACCGACATGGTCTTTCCCACTTAATGCTCTGCTGCAAAAAATGCATTCCCCCCTCACATATGTTCTCTGGGATGCACTGTTTCATACAAGAAGCAGGATATCCAGAAAAGTGACACTTACTCAAGAATTCATTGCTTTAGACAAGACAAATTTCAAATTTCTAAATTTTACCACCTCTTCTGCCCCTGTTTGGAGCAGGGTCACAATAGGTGAGTCAATTTATTTTATTAAGTACTGTTATGATGTTTTTGTGAAGAATTGGAAAATCACAGTGACATATGGGGTAGGGTTCTTGTTATCCTCTGTACAGTTATATATTGTGGGCTTCATTTTGTCCCTCAGCAGCTTACAAATGAATAGTAAGGGTTATTTAATTATCATGTCTCCTGAGAATATGAGAAATAGCCCATTAATTGTGCTGAGCATTTGAAAACACTACATACTGACGCCATAATTTACACTGACACAATTGTCACTCCAAAATGGAATTCCCCATGTGCCTCAGTCCTGGATATCATTGCACTGCAGCTGGCAAAGTGGAGCAAGGTGGGTGAGACAGCAGAGCTACCGGGTGTTCACTCATGTGCCCTGCCCCGCAAAGCAAAACTACTGGCAACTACCTGCATGGTTTAGGCAAAGCAGCACAAAGCCAAGCTGAAGCAAACACTCTACCTGTCTGCCTCATCTGAAGGAAAAGGAGGACAACGGGAAGAAGCCGCGTTGTCCCGCGATGACCCGCCATGCCCATCCTCCGAGCTCACTGCGCATCACCCGCTGCTTGCCCTGCAGGGCTCTGGGGCAGCTGCTCACTGAGAAACACCACAGTGCAAAGGTCAGCCACTCATGAGAAAACAAAACCTCTGACAGCAAAGTCTGAGAGCAATGTCGCCATGGCACGGTGTTGAGACACAAAGCCTGTGAGTGTGCTGCAGCAATGCCACACTGGCAGCTTTGTGCTGGCAGAGCACCTCTAGGCGGCTTTCCTCCAGAAATTTTGACAGAGCCTCTCTAAAGCAGCTGGGCTGTGCAGACAGCCAGGAGCTACAGTAGGTGATGTGGCTCTTGCCCCTGTCCCAAGGAAGGCAGACAACCAGAACCAGAGCTTTGTGCCTCCTGTACGCTGGGCTGAAGCAGGAAGGTGCCCCAGAAGAGAGGAGTGAATCAGGGCACAAAGTTTGCAGGTCTCGGTGAGCACATTGCAAAGTTGTTACCCACCAGCTCCGTCACAAGCACACTTGGACAGAGTGCACTCCCCCAGATTCATCAATTTCCATCTTATTATGAAAGTTGGGGGGGTGTTATTGTTTGAAAGCAAACCAGTGGGAGATCGCAAGTCAGAAATACAATTTAATAGGAAAATTAGAACAAATGCAATAATACACAAACACTGACAGAGTCAGAATACAACCTGGCACCCAGTTAGTCCGGGTGTTGGTAGCAGTCCAATTAACGGCTGGCTGCAGTCCTCTTGAAGTGATAGGTCTGGTTCTGTTGAAGCAGGGATCCTGTAGAAGGGTTTGTTCTTCCTCTGAAGGTCCAGTGGTGGTTATGGAACTCTGGTCCTCAGGGAATTCAATGGATAAGGCTGACTGTGACTGTTACAAGCGTCAGAGTATATGGGGGTAGGAATGCTTGGTTCCTCCCCCTGGGTGGAGCATCTCACAATGGGATGATGTAATTTTATCAGTCATGCAGTGACACTCAATGGCCCATTAACAAAAGATATACCCTGGAGTTATCAAGGATGAGTAATGAGCGAGACAAGAAACACTACCAAATGTGGTTTTAACAGCTCACGAAGATGTTGACAGAATACATAATTTCGGGTACGTCTCATATTGTAACCTAAAACACAGGGTTATGGGGTTTATGTGCTGTTTCCTTTTGTTCAAACCACTCCAAGGGGACTGCTCTTGAAAGGCCAATGTGGTCAGATCACAGTGTACAAATTAAACTAGAATAAAGTAAAATCCTTATAAAGCAAAACCCCTGTTTAAAGAGCTGCTGTGATATGAGCAGGCCATTTTGTGGAAAATGTGATTCTTTAGCATCACATATTGATTAATTAATTGTGTCTCAGCTTTTGCCACCCGAGATCTCCTGCTCCCTTAATCTTCTGAACACATCTGAAGGTAGAATCTAAACAACTCCAGTATGGACAAACTCCCTGCTGAGCCAGATGGCTGCAATATGAGGATTAAGTGACTCCCATCCTTCCTGCTTTCATCATGACTAGTGACTGCTCAGAACATGTTTAGGAGCCTCTGCTTGGAGCACTCGTGACAACACATAGGAACCAAAATGGCCATTAATCAATAAAAGAAGCCAAAGACCCCACTCAGCAGCCTTTTTGCTTGGGGAAATTCCCTCATTCAACCAATTCCAAAGACCTTCACAGTCCACAGAGGGATGCTTTAAAGCCAGGAATAATATGAATGGAAGCAATTGTAACTTTAAGGAATCAGATCTCAAAACCAGCTTAGCAGATATGCAGGAAAAGAAAGTTTCCATTTCCAATCCTGCACCTTGGCAGCTAACAAGGAGGATCAAGGGACACAGCACACCACTACAAATTCATGATTGTTGTTACCCAGCGCAAGAACCGGGACAGTTTGGTATAGACACCATATTTGCCTTTCCTTGCACATCCTTCGCCCCAGCTAACTATTCCAGTAACAAAATAAGTATCCTTATATCTGGTCACATGGGGGCCACCACTGTCTCCTTGGCAAGCATCCTTTTGCTCTGTGTCATAACCAGCACAGAACATGTTCTCAGTAATGGCTAAGTTAGTGGATTGTTTGCAAGTGTTCCTATTAACATAGGGGACCTCGAGCACCTTTAGTTTTTTCGATGTTCGCCCACCTTCAAGTCTTCTTGATCACTCATTCCATTGCTATGGTCAGCAGGTGAAAGAACAGACCTTTTTTTCCTTACCACAGCAACTTTTCCACAAGGGTATTTTACTGTAAACAGAAGAGTGCTAAAATTGATGATGGAGAGAAACACCAGGCTAAGACAAAACTTCTTGGAAATTACAATGAAACAGGGTGAAGTAATATGGGTCATGAGAGCTATTTGTTATTTTTTTAAATGATATAAAGACAACATCATGAGCACATGTTTGACAACGTCTGACTTTTCTTTTTATAAAAGTGCTACAATGTACGAGTAAGTAGCACTAATTATAATTACTTAATGTTTTCAGTTTCTATAAAAAGGTTTTGAAAACAAAAGTTTTGCAGACTGCTAATTTATGTGGTGGGTAAGCATTTAAGAAAATGACTTATTAATGCAATTACTTTTCTCTTGGCAACAGTGGAATTTACTGTGGTAATTTGCTGAGACACACCTTGCAAAGGGCTCAAAATCACCTAGATTTTGTTCCACTCCACCACAGCAGCTCACAAATGGAAGGCTTTGGAAATATAAATCAGTCAGCCTCACTCTTGAGTCTATGCCATGTAGGATACTGGTGGTTCAAAAGACATTCCTCAACTGCAAACAAAGACTGTAACTGTAAAGCTTAACTGCGAAACAAGCCTCACCACCACTGCTATTGCTTTATCACATGGCTTGGTACCTGTTGCAACACAGTGTCTGCCATCCTCTGCCAGAAGGTACCCATCTGCACAGGAACACAACACATCCTTCCGCCCATCTCTGCGGACGCTGCAGAACTGCTCACAGTCCCCGTTGTTTATCCTGCAGAACTTTGGTATGACTACAGAAGAGAGGGGGGCAGAAAAACTGTACATAAACACTGACTTCACAGAAGATCTGGAATTCTCTGAAACAGAAAACACTCCTTAAACAGGAACTGTATCCCCACCTGCCAAGCACCTGAAGCACCCTGCAGGAATAACTAATGTCAGTGCTGAACATCAGCTTGTGCCTTACAAAGCAGCCACATCCAGCACAACAAACGTTACTTGCCAAGTCTGAGTGGGCCCAGTGGCCATGGCATGGTGAGCTCAAAAAGCAGAGACAAATTGTCAGGGGAGCAATGAACAAAACACTAATAGAGAACGTAATTGTGTAAATCCTCACACAATTCCTCCCTCCTGCCCTAAAAACTCCAACTCCTCATCACTCCCCTTGATCCTCTGACTGAACCTCCTGGAGTTTCACACTCCTGCTCCTACTTCTGGGCTAATGATACCCCCTCCCTTGGCAAGGTCACAGGGGCAGCTCTATGCCACAGAAGTGAGCCCCAGGAAGGATTTCCATGCAAAACATCCTTCCTTACAAGTTCGCCGCCACGGTTCTCTAAAGCAGAAACTTACCAAATTCACAGTTCCTGCCTTGATAACCATCCAAGCACGTGCAAGTGTAGGAACCAATTCCATCTTTACAGTGGCCACCATAGTGACAAGGATTTGAACTGCACTGGTTCCCATCTACAAAAAGAAGCCAAAACCCAAATTATTGTAAGTGTGCAAGCATTTTCAGATAACTCAGAAGGGCTCTTAGTTTTCTTAAGCCATCTTCCATCCTTCCTTTCAAAACATAGGTCCTGTGAGTTGCCACATTCCAGATGGAACAAACAGTATAAATGTAATCTTTCCAAACCTGCAATGATTCATCTACATATCCTCAGTTCTGCAATCTCTTTTTGTTGCCCCCACTGTTGCCCCCACGTGCACACAAGCTTTTTTTGTGGGAAGGTAAAGAAGTTAGCTTGGCTGGTTAAAGCATGGTGCTAATATGGACAGGGCTGCAGATTTGATCCCTGTATGGGCCATTCATTTATGAATGGTCAATGACTCCATAATCTTTGTGGGTCCTTCCAACCCAGAATATTCTTTGGTATTATTATTGTTGTCAAAATATACATACAGCTAAGTCTGTAAGAGTTGACAGGACGTTGCAATTACTGCCAAAAATACTGAACTTCTTGCCCCTTGCATTTCCCCATCGTTTTTGCTCTGTTTCACACAAAATGCGAGATATCCAGAAAAGTGACACTTGATAATTTGCTGCTTTAGATAACATGATCTTACCCCCTATTTTTCCATTTGTTCTGCTCTTCTTTGGAGCAGCTGAAACAGCAAGGTCCACAGCAGAAACAACCTGCAAGAAGCTACTCATCCTAAGGATCCAGCATGCTCCCTGTGTGGTATTTCTGGACCATAACCTCATCTGCCGCAGCTTTGCCTGTCATGGGAAACAGCTGCTGGGCTTTGTGTACCCACACATCAAGATCCATTTTCTAACTGTATGGGGCCAAAACCAAGACCTCTCCAAATGCTCCAGCCATGGAGGCTCTGGAAATTGATGTCCATGCTTAACAGAGGGAAGACAAGACCAACATTAACCAAAAAAAGACAGACTGAAGGCCTACATCATAACTTCTGGTTTCTGCCTCCTCTGCAGTGCCACAGCACTCTGTTCTGTAATGGTCTTAGCTAAGCAGTATCCTATTGTTAGAAAACATACTTATTTATCTCCTACCCTACACTGTAGTTGCATCTGTGATAATGAGTTTTATATCAATATTGCACAAATTGCAGAATCCCCTACTAAAATGGGAAGCAAGAACAAATTGTTCTAGTAACTTGGCTGAACATAGCTGTGGTTTTCAATACTTCTGAACACTCATAAAGCATTTGTGGACTGTGGTTTAAAATGTATGAAAACTAACACTTCTGCTAAGAGCATTGGCACTGATATTCTTCTGCTTGTATTCTCATAAGAAAATGGCTTGAAATATCCCAACCCTCTTTACTGTAACACTGACACAGACTTTGCTTGAAATCTTAGTCTGTAGGTTGCAGAGTTCATCCTGTGCTTGAGGATTGCGAAAGTCTGTGTCTTCTTCATGGCAACTGTTTTCATTTTTCTGCAGATTCCAAAAGACAAAGCTGAGCTGTCTTTGGTCAATATTTTTGAGGCACTCCTCCTAGTGTGCAAACTGGACATATACTTTCTGGAGAACATGTTATCAAACACTAATACATTAAAAAATTGTCTTTGCACAGTGCTTACAAAAACTAGAACCCTAATAAATAAAACTCACATATTTAGATAAAAAAACAGAAAACTGTTAGGTAGTATCTACTGGCATATTGGATCCATTGGCATATTTCCCTTGAATGACAAACAGTTCTGTAAAAAACACAACCAAAAAAATGCTCTTTAAGACAGAAATCAACAACACTTTGGCATGGAAGGAAAGAAACTGGCAAATGACTATGCAATGTAATTAAACTTTGTTAGAAATCAACAACACTTTGGCATGGAAGGAAAGAAACTGGCATGCAATGTAATTAAACTTTGTGTTGGTTATGGCATTTAAGAGACACTCTCATCTGTGACTCTTTGCATATTGAATTCTCGTATCTGGAGCTGCCCCTCTGAAGGAAAACTATTTGGCAGTCCCACACACAGTTTCTGCTCCTCACTGTCCCTTGTGTGCAAAGGACCACTGTTATTTTTTGAGAGGACAAAGGTCAGTCCAGCAACTGGAGACAGCTGAACCTTGCCTTCAAATGAAGCAATTGGGCTCAATCAATGGCAGGCAGTAAATCAGATTGCTTTTTCAGAGGAAACACAACATGAGGGTGTCCCAGAGTGAAAAGAGAGGAAGCAAGGGAGCAGGAAGAGGTTACTCAAGAGGTGCACCCTTTCAAACCTTGCAATAAAGAAGCTTAATCTTCTGAATAAACACAGGGTGTTTCTTACCTACATAGATGTTCCAGAATTCCTCCTACAAGTAAGTGTGGGAAATGAAGAAGAAAAAGAAATAAAGTTAGAGAAGAATTACTAAATTCCTCAGAAAAATATTAGACTTTTCATACACAGGATACTTGCAGCTAACAATTGTTAAAGGAAATATTTACATTATAGATACATACAATGCCTAGCAGCCCACTATTACCATTTAATAACTTAAAATCATATGATCCATATGGTGTCCAGCTCTACAGAAACAAGTTTTGTGAATTTTTCAGAAATATCTGACCCTCCTTACAGTTTTTCCAGCGTGACCATTCAGCATAAGCCTCTTGGTTTCTTGCATAATTATCTTTCCACCAGTTTTGACTGAATTTACTTATATTCCCATAATGCCAAATTCTCAGTCTTGATCCCCACCCCATACTCCCATCAATCAGGACCTCACAAATCCTGACATTTAAAAATATTTTGTCTGATTTGTGTTCTCCTGTCCATTTGCACTGAGGACTCCAGGATGCTGGCTGCGCAAGACAGTCCTTTCCAGTGACATCTGGTCACCAGGCAGAACAGGCTGTGCCGGTTCTGCTATAGGTAAATCAACATTTATCATCTGAAGCACACTGGTGATGCACCCAGGACTCCCCACCCAGGACACCTCAGGGCCACTCCAAGAACATTCTGGCCATCAAATAATGCTAAAGGGAAGTGAATCTGGCCTTAGGTCCCGTTCCAGGGTAGTTCTAAACAGCCATATAACTACAGTCTATGTTTGCAATACCGCCTTTTCTACTTACAGTCCACACAGCTGCCCCATCTCTTCAACTTTCCCTTCAGCTTGGGAACAAATCACACTTCTGTCTAAAGTTAAGCAAGCCATTGGGGTAGGGCAGGTGACACAAGAGTCAAACAAACTTCATTCCAGTCAAGATTAAGGCATTTATGAACTGTTCACAGTATACATTCTCTCAATTCAGATAAAGAGAGCTACAAAATTGCAAGCAAAGCTGCTTGAGATAAGTTCAGTAAAATTCCCTCATGAGGTTCCAGGTCAGCATTTGCCTTCTCAGCCTTCCTGTGGACTGCCTTGACCACAGTCATGCCACTTAGGGATGTAACCCAGATAGGGTGAATGTATTTTCAACACTGATATCAGCAGAGCCATTGAACATCAAATAACTTTCAATGGCAATTAAACACATCAGAACAGGTAAAAGAATGGAGGATTTAATCTGGGTTGGCCATGCAGGAGCTCAATTAAGACTGTTATGAGATGACTATTGCCTTAGCAATTCCACCTCCAGTCAACCACTATTTGTTCTCTGTGTTAAGTGATTGGGAACAACTTGTGAGTTTTGATGCTCAGCTTACAATTACTATCTGATGAATAGTAGTTTTTAAACATGAAATATATAGACCTATGTTTCATATTAGTTCATCCTTACAGTTTTCTCCTGGTCTTCAAAAGCTTCTCTTGCTTCTTCTTTTGAGCAGCGCTCCTCATTGCATTCTCTTTCAATATTCCCTTTCTTCAATTCCTCTAAGAAAGAGTAAGCACGTTTTGTTCTTTCCAAGAACTTGTCGGCATTTTCTTTCTTGATGAATACTAGATAGCAGAGAAAAATTATACAGGTGGGTAACATTTGGTGATGGAAAGGAGTCACGACAAATGAGTGAAGTAGAAACAAAGCCAAAACAGACCACACTACCTGTACACATTACCTGTGAGGTTAGTCCTCACACAGGCTGATACATCCCAAGATCTCTCAGAGGAGTCTCTCTGAGAATCAGTAGCCTCAGAACAAAATGTAGGACCCCAAAATTCTCTCCTACTCTTTTTAATCTTGAAAAGGTTGCCAGTGAGGGCTTGTATTCTGCTGTTCCTGCTCAAGACTCAGTCTTGAATGGAATGACTTCCCCTGAATGCTGGGGAGATTACAGAATCACTAGGTTGGAAGAGAGCTCCAAGACTGAGTCAAACCCATGTCCTAACACCTCCACTAAACCACGGCACTGAGTGTCACATCCAGTCTTTTTTTAAACACATCCAGGGATGGTGACTCCACCACATACCTGGGCAGACCATTCCAGTACTTTATCACTCTTTCCATAAAAAGCTTTTTCCTAATATCCAACCTGTATTTCCCTTGATGCAGCTTAAGGTTGTGTCCTCTCATTCTGTCAGCTGCTGCCTGGAGAAAGAGACCAGCCCCCAGCTGAGCACAGCCACCTTTCAGGAAGCTGTAGAGAGTGATAAGGTCACCCCTGAGTCTCCTTTTCTCCAGGATAAACACCCCCAGCTCCCTCAGTCGTTCCTCACAGGGTTTGTGTTAGAAGCCCCTCACCAGCCTCGTCGCCTCCTCTGGATGCACTCGAGGGTCTCCATGTCCTTCCCAAACTGAGGGGCCAGAACTGGACACAGCACTCAAAGTGTGGCCTCAGCAGTGCTGAGTACAGGGAAGAATGACCTCCCGGGATAAAAGAAGTTGCTAATTACCCTGTAAAGAGTATATGTTCTAGGAAAGCGTGAAGAGTTTGGAAGTTGGCATTTAATCAAGTTCTAGCACCTGGAATTTATACTGAGGAAATACTTTCCAATATTTCTTATATTTCCAATATTTTTTAGGCTGGAGTGTGGAAGAATGTGCTACAGATGTGACTTCAAGGACAATGACTTGTGCTCACTGGGAGGACTGCACATTCCTTTTGGAGCATTCTTCTTAATTTCATGATAAATAAACTCGCTAAAAGTAATTATATACCCTAATATCCTCCAAGTGAGTACAGAGGAGACTTATTCTGCTTTCACTGAAATTGCTGGATCATCCTCAGGGAGGCAAGTTCTGTTTGTGTTATTTATATTAAGCAAATCCTCACATAATTTGAGGCCCCACTTACTTTGAAAAGGCTCCTCTCAAGGCAGGCTTACAGAAAGTACTTTTAACTTGCAGCTCAGCGACTGTTAGTTCATTCACCCACTATCTTATTTGCCCTCAAATCCCTTTCTTCAGCGACAGGAAACTGACAGGACACAGCCGGTGAGGTTATCACCTCTATATTCCTTTGCTTTCACGCCACTCAATTAAGCGGATGTTTTTGCAAACTTGAATAGCCTCTTTCTGAGGCTGCTCATGCTTCTTCCCAAGCTCTCTATCATACTTTCTTCTTTAGAGACATCAAGGAGCAACAGGCATTGGTCAACCGAAGCAGGATATTCCAGAAACATGCCAAAGACCTTGTTTTAAACCCCAAGCAGTCTGACCCACTGGAGGAAGAGTTAACAGCTTTTGAAAAGTTATTTGCTGATGCTGCCTTGGACTTGGGCGCTGACTGGCGGCACAAGAGGCAGCGGGACCTGCTCCCCCGCTGTGCCCCAGCTCCTCCACGGCCAAGCGCACCCAGCCACGACTTGGCCACGCTTCCCTCAGACACGAGAGCACCTGCCCAGGCTGCGAGGGCAGCTGTCCTCCCGCTGCGAACGGCGGGCAACCCCACTTTCCTACACGGTCGCCGCGATGCCCGCAGCAGCTCCCTGCCCCCGAAGCTCAGCTCCCCGCTTTACGGCGGTGTGCGGGGTCGGCACAGGTGCCGATAAGCCCTCAGCCGTGCGGAAACCGAACGTGCCGGGGAAGGCGAGCCGTGGGGTGCCCGCTCCCCGCCCTTCCCCGCCGCGGCTCCTGGCGCTGTCCCGGTGCGCGCCCCGGCCCGCAGCATGGACCGCCACCGCCTGCGGCGCTCACCCGGCAGGCCCCCGCCTGCCCCCAGCACTGCTGGGAAGGGAGATTCCCCCGTCCCGAAAACATGGAAAAGGAGCCGCCTTACCGCCTCCCTGAGCGCGGAGCCCGGCGGGCAGCGCGGCGCAGAGCAGCAGCAGCAGCGGCAGCAGGCGCCCGGCCATGGCAGCGCCGCCCATGCCGCTCCCGGGGCCGCGCCGGCGGCACGGCACGGCACGGCACGGCACGGCACGGACGGGACGGGAGGGACGGATGGGACGGATGGGACGGGAGCCGAAGTCTTCACCCCCTCGGGCGGGGTGAGACTGAAGCCGCGTAGCTTCAGCCTGCCCAGAAATAGCGGAAGCGCCGGGACAGGGCGACAGCCGCTGCGGGTTTTCTCATCGGGGGGATGAGGCTGCTCTTCTTTTTGTTCTTTATTTTTTCAAAGCCCAAGGCAGCGTGGGGGTTGTTTTGTTTTTAATTGCACCTTTTGTTTTGGAGGAAGGGAAGTGAGTCGTCCCTCAATAAGCTGGCGTGGCCCCGGCCCTGGGCACAGCCGGGCTCCCAGCCCGCAGCAGCCGCTGTCCTGGCTGCTCCCAGCCCCGTGTCCCATCCACATCCAGCACTGTGACCTGCTGGCTCCGCACCAGTGACCTCGGCCGGCGCTGCCTGACACTGGCCTCAATCTCCCCTTCCTTGGGGGGGTTCACTGCGCTGCGAGGCCACGTCCTCGGTGCTTCCAGAGCCAGCCATCAGGTCTCCTTCATCTTCGTGGCTTTCCTAAGCAGGCTGTTATATTAAAAAAAAAAAAAAAAATCTAAAAGCCAGACTTGTTTTGAAAAAGTAATTTTGTGTGGCAGTTATTAGTATTGATTTCTTTTGGTGTTTTACCCTTTTTTCTGCGAGGTGATTTGCTCACAAATATCAGTATTTTCACTGGAATGTTATAGAGGAGAAATCATCTTGTGGATCATGGTAAACAGAAACTATTCTACCTTGAGGGGTCCTCAGGGATGGTTTTACAGTGCTGAGCACCTCATCTAAATGAAAATGAGGCTTTATTTGCTGGTCACTGCTTACTTGCTCCTTGAGACTGGACTGTCTTTGGGAGCACGGAGAACCTCTAGTGCATGTATGCATATATACTGTAATATCTCTTGTTTTTCAGGTCTCTGAAATTTGCTGCTTTTCCCAGTTCAGTTCAGTGCCTACATGAACAGTAAAACTTCCTTCTCTGTCGGTAAAACAGGTTACAGGATGTTCAGTATTGCATGGTATGTACCATGCAATGACAATATTTTCCCCCAATAATAGAGTATGATCAATTGTGTCCTACTTGCTGATAAGCTTTTGTGATTGCATTGATACTCTGCATTATTTGAACAATCTAGAGCGTAAATTCTGCATGAGATAGTTAAACTGTTTTCCAATCTCCTAGTTCAGTTTTGTCTTCCTCACCTTGTCAGTGTTTTCATGCTAAGGTTGGAAAGTACATTTTTGAACTGTATATGTTTTCAGAGAGCTTCAGGTTCTATCATTTATGTCTTAAGACTTTAGTGAGTGGTCTTTGGTCAGTGTTTTGCAGAGGGGTAGACAATTATCCTGTTCTGGTTTTAGATCTAGATTTAGGATAGAGAGTACAATTGAGATTATACAGGACAACTGATAAACATTCCCTTTCATTTGCACTCTTTCTATTGACACGCATAATGCCAAGGCAAAGATAAGATTAAATCAATGGTATTCTTTACCACTTATAAATATAGGGTTAAATATTGCACTTACTAGCCTTACAGCAATAATGCTTGGTGTAAGAATATTTAAATCAAGTTTTCATAGCAGACCTGTAAATATGGAATCAACCTTTTCCCAGATTTCTTGTCCTGAAGAGTGTCTGCAGTTCCTCCCCTTCAAATCTCCCTGTTGCCACTGCAACTGTGGGGGAAAGCTGCTTTAACATAATCTAAAAGATACACCTTTTCTACTTTTGTTTCTGCTATTTCATCATTATATTACAGGATCCATAGCATAGGAAGTTATGAAAGCCAGAAGCATAAATGTGTTCAAAGGAGATTGCACCCAATTAGGGACAACACATTCATTCATGACTGTTCAGTCTAATGCAACCTCTGGCTCAGGAAGTCTGTGCTTCACTGATACCAGAAGTTGAGAGAGTAGCTGGGGGAAGGCTTATGATCTGCACGATGTATTGCTGACAGTCTTTCTCTCAGCATGTAGCTCTGATCTTCAGCAGAAATGGATGCAGAACAGGAGGGACATTGTGTCTGATTTGTTACAGTCATCCTCTGCCTGCTTGACAAGATACACAAGTTTACAAACAACACTGAGAGGGAAGTTATTTTATGTATTCAAGCAGGCCTTAGGCTCACTTCAAATCCTTAATAGTGTTGTGTCTACAGCCTGTATCAAATATCTAAGATAATGAAGGAATACTTCCGTGGGAAAATGGTATAGAGGGATTGGGGGGCAATAACATGGCCTGGAAATGCTGTGGCTCAACATCATTAGTCCATGTGCTTCCTCAACCAGTCGATGTATTTGGATACCCTTGTGTAAACCCCATAGCTGCCTTCAACAGCACAGCCCTTTCCCCAGCTGACAATCCCAGTCAGAAACCAAGTGTTCTTGTACCGTGTAGCATGAGGACCGCCACTGTCTCCCTTGCAGGAGTCCTTAACCCCAGACAGGTCTCCTGCACAGAACATATTCTCTGTGATATTTAAGTCGGTCTCCTTTTCACATTCTTGTGTCTTTACACGTGGCAAATCAACTCTCATCAGAACAGAAGAGGTGGCACCTCCATCTATTAGGCGTCCCCATCCACTTACTGTGGAGAACTTGATGGTGGACAGTTCATACACAGCAAACCTTTTCTCAGGCAAACATATTGGCACCACATAGTCCGTGAGATTCACGGGTGTTTCCAGTTTCAAGAGGGCAATATCATTATTGACGTGTCCATTCCTGTATTCTTCGTGAATGATCATCCTGGCGACTCCACTTTCTTGCTCAGTTTTCTCATCAACATTTATTTTGTGTTCACCTGGAAAAGTTATTAATTGCAGGTCATATCAGATAGCTCCTTGAGTCCTTGGAAGTTTGAGGATGTGGGATGTTTCTAGTCTGACACCTCTAAGGACAATTACCTTATACTGCCAAAGCCTTCTACTCTGATTTTATCAGGTTAAGAAGCTGCCACCACCTTGATAAGATGAGGAGGGGAAGATACATACCCAGTCTCACCCGAAGCTGTTTAGGGTGAGTATGCTCCAAACAGTGTGCTGCAGTGACCACCCACCCTGGGGAAAGCAGGGTGCCACCACACTTTTCTCTCTGATCCTGTATTATCAGGGCCTGCCAACATAAAGCAAATTTATGTCTTTCATCAAATGTGCTTGACATAACTCTCAGTAGATATGGGTTTCATATTGCTTCTTTCTGTCCCTTTATGCAACTGTGTTTGACAATACCATGCTGACTGCATGGAGAACTTAGCAAGGGAAGTCTTCCTGTGGAATTTTCTTCATCTTGTAGTATGGACCCTGCATATTATGGCCCAAAGCGTATCCCTGGAAGCTGCAACTAAAATTCTTGCTGGCAGTGAAGTTGAGGACTAAGGGGTCAGGAGATAGAGACAGCTGTGCTCTCTACTACTATGAAACAGGTACTCCAGAACAAAGCTAAGGTGCCTACATGAAACAGGTGGATCTGCTGGCTATGGATGAAGAAGGAGTTTGGTTATTAAAACATGGCACTTTTAATGAATTTTTAACATCATAGATTTAAAACAATTAATTTAGTGTAGTGATTTCATAAGGAAATTTAAGAAATAAAAGCAATGAAAGATTTTGGAAAACTCACTTGCCATGGACATTCACCTGGAGGACAGATGAAACCACCTACTATTCTCCCGTGTACAGTTGAATTTTTTTTTGCCAACACTGGTATTTTTCCACACGGGTATTTCACTGAGAAAAAAGAAAGCAAAAAACACAAACCCCAAAACAACAAAAGGCAACAAGGATTTTAATGTACTGAATTCACAGCAAAATGTGTAATGTCTTCAGTGAAGCTATGTCAGCTGAAAAATTGATTTCTAGTCTAGGAGCATGGATTCTCAAAAATAATGTAAAACAGCTCAGCAGGTAAGTAGTCTTTTTTTGTTTGGAAACAGCCAGAAATGCTCTTGCAATTAGAGTTGAGGCCCTTACAGCATCACTGACACAGAGTCACCTACCATAGGTCTTTGCAGATGATAAACCTGCTTAAGATACACATCAGCACAATGAGGTAGGCTGCAGGCTGGAGTGCAGAAGTGACCCTGACAAGCTCTGCAGTCTACACATCCCTGCTGACAGTATCCATGGCAGGATGAGACAGAGGCTTAATCATCTTGCCATCCTTTGTTTGGGAAGAGCCAAAGATGTCCCAAGGGCAGACAGTGTCTTCTGGTGTGCCTCTCCCAGACTACCTTGTTTGCTTGTGTCCAGATCCTGCTGGATTCTTCCAGACTGCGCATCTCTGTTCTGCCTGAGCCAGCATGTGAAGACTGGCAATAGAGAGAATCAAATCCTGACTGAACTTGCAGTTAAGCTGTAGAGCAGAGGAAATCTTGATGTTTTCAGTACATCCTTCACCCAGCTGAGTTTTCCTGTAAAGGAGAAGGTCTACCCTTGGGGGTGCCTGTGTGCCACGTGTCTGTGCTGTAACTGAGCACCCCATCCCTTCTGTCTGGCAGTCACTTCACTCTGTGATAGCACTGTGAGGAGGAGTGCTCTTTTTCTATCTCTTTGGAGCCAGGGTCCTATAGTCTCTGCTGAGCTGCATGCAACATCTCCGTGGAGCTGTCAGTACCTCATCTGACATGAAGACAGCATCAGGGTTTTACAGGTACATGCAAGGTATGGAGAAACAGGACTAGCTTTTTGCTGGCAGCTGGTGAAAGATTAAACAGTCATAGCACATAACACCCATAGTCTCTAATGCTGTGTGCAGGGCAACACAAATTTGGGCCATTGTGGGAGATGACAGAGGGACAGTGAGGGGACTGTCAGCCTGGCAGTTACACAGTTTTTTCTACTTGCAACACATGGTCAATTTTACAGCTATTTTCTCCCCAAGAAGCAAGCAGCAACAAATATATCTTCCTTGCAGGGAAAGATGCACTGAAAAACCTGTGAGAAATTTTGAATTGTTTGTTCTTAGCTTTTAACAAAAGCAGCTTTCCATCACATGGTATTGCAGAATCTGTTAATAAGGGATAAGCACGTTAGTAGATATTTTTTTTCTAATGAAATTGCTGCTATTGAGAGCTAGGTTGTCTTTACCAGCTCTCTGCTGAGTAAATGAGTGTTCCACTGAGGTGTGTGCAGGGGAGCACCACTCCTCAGAATTACTTTGCAGGCTCCCTGTGGCTCTGTCCATTATGTTGTTATGTTCATATCCCCAGGGGTCTCCTTTTCCCTCTATTAAAGTAATTCAAGTAGGCATCTGCAAAAGAGTCAGGTGCCAGCTTATGCATTGGCAAAAAGATTAACTTGCACTGCCCTAGTTGCAGTTGAAATTTACCTTGCTAGGTGAAAGAAATATCTAGCCATAGTGTCTGTAGGAATACCAAAAGTATATTATTCCTAACAATTAGGAAAAGAAGAGGAAGGGAATGGAAAAGGAAAAGGAAAGGAAAGGAAGGAAGAAAAGAAAGGAAAGAGATTAACCGGAAAGGAAAGGAAAGGAAAGGAAAGGAAAGGAAAGGAAAGGAAAGAGATTAACCATTTTTCTAGGTCTCTTCCTCTCTTGACTCTTTTGCTGAAATAAATATAGTGGTAAAATCTAGTCACAGTTTCAGATTGGAGAGACAACAGTAAAACAAATGTGCCACCAAAGTATTTTCCTACTGTGGGTGTAAGCTAAAAAGAACTTGTGGGGCTCAGAGCCCCTTCATTCACCAGATACCCCTCAGCCTGACCCCAAATCCCTGACCACCTGCTGCCCTGCTTTATTTAGATCACCTGGTGAGGAGTGAGGAGCTTGTCTCCACTGCTCAGTTCCTTTCTACTCCACTAATGGTGAGTGTGCTCCCGAAGGAAGAGACGGGTTCAGCTCCCTCTCAGCTCTGATTAGGTGGGATGGTCAAACTTGAATTTCCCACATTCCAGAGGACTGAACCTCTGGGACCAGGAAGAAGTCCAAAAGGATCTCTGCTTGGTGGCCATGCTGACCACTGCTTTTCTGGGGTGGGTAACTTGCACCAGAAGCCAAATGTATGATTTGGGACGCTGCCCATGGAGAAGAGGTGAGGAGCTGGTATCTGAGCATTATGCATTGCATGTCCTGACATGTACACATTGAAAACTTTTCTACTTAGCATCAGGTTGGTAGTGTCTTACCTTGAGGGATGCAGGACACGCCATCACTGGCTAAAGTGTAATCATCATCACAGAAGCACAGTCGTATTTTGGACTGCTTGTCAGTACAGTACTGTTCACAGCCACCATTGTCAAAAATGCACTTCAGTTTGTCAGCCACAGCTAAAGTCAGAGAAAGGACATTTAGGATTCAAGACTTGGATTTTTCTACTTAACATTGATAACTTGCAATTGGAATGTTGTCAGGAAAGCAAGGCAGGAAAAATGATTTCTGTGACTTATGCAGAGCAACTTCATCAAAATTGCTTTTCATCAAAAGCTAAGTAGGCCTAGATCTCCAGGGATTAGGGGAGGATAGGCTCTGGTTAAGAAATATATACATCAAATTAAATCAATCAGCATTTATACAGTACCTGATCTGTCTCAAGAATGGAGATATTGTAATTGTGTGGTAACCATTGTAAAATATGACTGAAAATTTTCAATTCTGTGACATTTTGCCACTTAGCAGGAGGATGCTCTGCGATGACTGTTGAGACTGCCTGCCTAGACTCCATGAGTGCCTAGCCCTTGTCCAGACTCTGCGTGTGCTGAGGATGTCACACTCAATGTTCAGTGTCCTCTGTTTCAGTGAAATCAATGGAAAGGTGTGTATTAACTTCATAAACCACTGGATCCTTGCCTTTGGGCTTTGTACTGTGCATATGCAGTGTAGTTCTCACTTACATACAGCATGGAGCGTCTAAGTTAACATAACTTCAGCACTGGAAATTCCTCCTTTTCTCTCAGATGGTGTGCAAATGCAATTTTTCTTTTTTTTTTTTTTTTTTTTTTTTCACAAAGTCATTATAGGGCAATAAGTATCTTGCTACCTTGCAGTAGCTGACTGCTGTCTGGTTCGATCCATCCCTCAACACCAAAAGCACTATGAACAGAAGCTGTCACAGCTGGAATGGTGCAGAATCACAGAATCCTAAAATATCCTGAGTTGGAAGGGACCAAGGAGGATCATCAAGACCAAATCCTGAATTACAATGACTGTTATTGTTTATCTCAATGCCTTGCATTTGAATTAATAACAGGATTTTTATTTTGTTAAGTTATGCCACAGCTGACCTTTTTCACAGCTTTTGCCCTCGTATTCGACGGGACAGCGGCAAACATAATCCTGGAACTGGTCATCACAAATCCCGCCGTTCTGACAGGGGTTGGAGGCACACTGGTTGGGGTCTGTAAAACACTCAGTGTCAGTCCAGCTCACGCAAAGAGCTGCAGCAGTGGGAGTGTTCCACAGCTGTTAGAACATCCTGAATGATCGTACCAGAATAGATGAGCCAGAACTCTTCCTGGAAGAAAAAGATGTGAGATTTAATTAAAGAAGAATCAAGTCTTACAGCCCTTGTTGCACAGCATGGGTTACAGACAGCCAGAGTGATGCCACTTCTGCCTTTATAGTTTGTGACAGTTAATATCCATAAAATATTCTATTTTCTAGATTATACATTATTTTCATATACTGATAGAGAAGGACCTTGTTTAATGCACATAGATGGATCAAACATAAATAAGCTCTGTATAGCTGAGGTGGGATTGACTGAAAAAAATGTTGCACAATGCAATAATTTAAAGCATTGTCAGGGTAGGCATTACTGGGGGTTTGCCTTAGAGAGCATCCATTTTCCCACCATCTTCTAGGTGGTTACTGCTTGGGATTGCCCATGCAGTGTGCCCTCCTGCAACTCACTGCTGCTGTGTACCCCTGTAAATAGAAAAGAAAAATGCAAACAGCAGGACACAAAGTGCTTTTTTAACTCTGGTGGTTAAAGCACACCCCTGAGTAGGGAGAGTCCTAATGACAATGAGTGCTCACCCCGCCCTGTGTTACTTACTGTCCTTTCAATGTCACCATAAATCTCTCTTGCTTCCTCATAGGAACATCTTTCTTCTATGCATTCTCGCTCTAGTGACCCCAGTTTTATCTCTTCAAAGAAGCTGTTGGCTCGTCTTCGTCTTTGCAAAACTTTGCTTGCCTCCTCCTGCTTTAGAAAGACTGAAAAACAACGGCACATTCTGTTTGTCATACAAACAGAATGTGCCAGACAGAGAGGGTAGGGGGACGGCTTCCCCTGATGGCTTTTCTGCTTCCCAAGCTTTTTCTGAGAAACTTTAGAAAAGAAATGGGCAGATGTGGAAGAGTCTCCTTTCTCTGGCCTGCCTCAAGGTAAAGTGACAACACAGGAATTTTAGAGATCGCGGAGCCCAGGAGAAGATGGCCTGTTACAACAGTGGGGGGGAAGGTGTGTGTTGTATGCATGTCAGTGACTCCTGAGCTGCTGTTGCATGTCAGATGCATCTTAGCACATGCAGCAGTTTCTTACAGCTGTAGCAGCTGGAGAGCCTGTGTCACTTTATCTAGCACTGGTGTACTTGGCACTGGAAAGTTCATGTCACTTTATCTAGCACTGGTGTACATGGCAAAAGCTGATTTTTCTGTACTTGATAAGTCAGTCACAGTGACACGTGGACCACAGTCATGCCTTCACCCACAGTCACATGTTATTTGATACCACTCCACTTGTTGGACCTGAAGAAGGGATTTATCCCACCATTAGTAGACCACAATTTTTGAACCACTGCTTTAATATCTTTGATTTTCTTCTGTGGAAATGGTTATGTTAAGGTACATAGGAAGGCTGGACAATGCTGACTGCATTTCCTAGTGGAGCCTGTGAATGGCTCCTAGCTCCTGCCATCACCACAGACTACAGCCAGGAAGGGGCCTTTTATGTCTCTACCATGCTTTGGAAGGATGTTGGGTACACAGGTTTGATAGCAGGCATCAGCAGGGCTCATTTCCTAGAGCTGCATCAGCTTGCATCTGGGAGAAATGTGCAATGGAAACACTAATGTCATGGTCCCCATGCTGACCTGCTCCTCAGCCTCAGGATATTAGCACATCACACAACTGTGCTCTCCCAGTATAATTCAGGATAAGGAACAAGAAGTCCAAGTGCTGGTGTGTAATTTTGCTCCATGTACTACACAGAAAAAATCTTGACATTTCAATTTTTTTTTCTCCTTTACATCTGTAGGGGAGCTTCTGGAGCTTCATGACAGGTTACATTTCAGCACTTTAACTGTTTCACCTCTGCTTGTGGGTAGATTTGGGGATTGAGGCTGATGCACGTCTTCTGCCTTTCCCCAGGACATTCTCTCCAAAAGAGTGGGAGTTGTCTTCTACCTGCTGAAAGGGCCCTGAGGGATGCTGAAAGACAGACTCATATGTGTCATCACCAAAATACACACCCAATCATAGATGCTGAGAGGGTTTATTCCATTTTGAAGTGATGTGAGGTTTTTCCATAAACATTTGTGTCTAATTCAGGATAGTTGCTGAATTACATGCAGAATAGTGGTAATTTCCCCCTGTATTTCAAAAGTTACCTAGAAGAATAAATTGTTGTGCCCTGAATTTATCCCTGAATGCTTCAGAAGCATTTGGTCATTATAGGAATGTCAGCTGGGTCTTTCTGCCTTGATATCAGTCAGGATGTATGCATTTGATATGGCTTTCTTTAAAGGCTTTTAATTAACCTTGTGCTGCAGATATGTGGCACATGTATCAGTGCTTGAACACAGACTCTGACAGAGGAGCATGCCTGAGCACATGGCTGGGGATGTGCACATGACTTGGGCCATCCATCCACTCATTATCCACTTTTTTGTATTGGATCACTTCTGACTTTGCTACCTATTTTTCCACCTTTCCTCACTGCAACAAACAAGATCTAGTCAATGGCTAATGGGGAATCTGACAGCACTGCATCTGCTTTATTAATATGGGAGCTAGTTTTTGGACATACACTGAGCAACTGAAGAGCTACCTCTTCTCTGCTTTCTACTGAAACAGGGTGGATCCTACCCGCTTTATTTACTCATGACAGGCTATTGATGCTTTGCTTTGAAAAATGTCCCAGTTCTGCATGAAATAACAGTGAATCCCAGTTCCTTTCTTCATGTAGACAGCTGGTGGTTTGTCTGCTGTCTGTGCACCAAGATAACAAATTAATTTAGCAGTATAGAGGTGCTTTTCCTTAGTTGGCAGAACAAGTGCATGGAGCCATCTCTGAGAGTAAATTAGAGCTTTAGAAAAACACAGGCACAGCAGGAGACACAACAAACACGCAACAGTGCTCAAAACTTGCAGTGGAAATCACCTCAGTAACAGGAAAGAGGGCCATAGCCAGTAAACATCATTACAGCTATATCCTACAACATACCTGCATCCAGAGAAAGAGGGATCAGGAGCAGAAAGCAGAGAAACAAAGCCACATACTGCCTGGAAATCATGATGAACCCTGCGAGCCAGTGTTCTGGTAGTGTATTGACATTTCAGCAAGGACTGTTTGGCCAAAGGGCTCAGCTTCAAATGCTTGGAGCCAGAGGAGGGGCCAGCAAGTCATGGAAACAGCAAAAGAACCACGACAGCCTGGTGAGCTGAGCAGGGCACATGCAAATCCTGCAATGTGCCCTTTTCACAGGAACAGGGAGCTTGGTTTTGAAGTGTGCTCTCCTGACCCATGCAAAAACTATGCTGGTTACACAGGCTGCTAGCCCAGGCCTGCATTTTCCATTTAACACACCTTTTCCATGAGAAACATGAATACTGGGATCCTGAACCCATAGGACAGGCATTAACTTGGCCACATAGCACCACATGCAGAGAGCAGTGAGGTGATATTTTCTTGCATCAGCAGTTAAGGTAGTGCCTTTCAGTGCTTTGGAGTATGATTGTACTACTGGCATCTATTCTCATTTTTCTATCACCAGTTGAAACTGTGCACTTCTGCCTGAATTTGCTTGGAGACACTAATTAACCAGCAAGAGACACTCTACACTGGTTCTCTCCTTCTTTGCTGCCAGACCCATGTGGCCTGCACAGGTTGTACCAGCTGGAAGTGGCACTGAGCTGATCCATGTTGTACTTCACTGGGAGCTACCAGGGCTTGAGGGGCCACTCTGCAGACAGTGCTTTATCTGGAACATAAGCAGTTCCCTGATTTAATGGAAATCAATTCATGGCATCAGACTGGAAAGCTGACAACATTCTTGGGGAAATATTTACTTAAAATAGCAGCAAGGTAAAGAGCATGTTTGTCTATGAGAAGTGAAGCATTAGCTGTAGGCTGGAGTGTTTTCCAGGCTGTTCTCCCCTTCCTGCTTGGAAAGGAAGGATAGTCAGCCCTGCATCTGAATGCTACAGCAAAGGAAATCAACAGCTGGATTTTTACTCTGTGCCAACGCTCAGCATAACTTCTTGCAGAAGTTGTGATTGCTTAGGAAAGTCAGGCTCCTGGCTGTTGTTTCCATGCAGTCCTGTTGTTTAGGGGCAGTACACACAGCTGGATATTCTGCTTTGAAATCACTTTCCCAAGAGGCGGTATCCAGGCACTTCTCTGGATCACAGCCTGGCTAATTCCCAGCAGCCCAGTTCCTGGGATGGCTGGGAACAGATGGCATGTCCTGTCCCAGGCAGAGGAAGGAAGGCAGTTACGGGAATGCAAAAGAAACTACAGCAGCCCTCTGCTGCTTTTTGGGAACCCTCTCCATACCTCTCAGTCTGCCAACACAGCCCTTACTCCTTGTTCACTTGCCTTTGGCAGGGAGTTGAAAATAGCAAATGCATTTTCAGATTAGCAAGACCAAAACTAAGCTTGAAAATTTCTTTTAATCTCATCTTCTTGGGAATGATCTAGCTCCACCTATCTGTGTGAGTCATGCAGATCAGAGAATGAAGCTCTGCCTTCTCTGCCTGAGGCCTGGCTGAGTCTGCACCTATGCTCCTCACTCCCTTTATTTCCTTACCTAGGGTGGGCATCTCCCTGCCAGGGATGGTGGGGTGGCTGCCACTCCACAGCGGCATCGCAGCACCTCTGCAACCTCCACTTCTCTGTAATGTGCAGATTCTGCACATCCTTATGAGACTGAGGCATTATTCTCCCTTTGCCTTCCTTCCTCTGCTGGCATCCCTTAAACCTGCTTTTAGTTCTTGGGAATACAGCCAAACAGTTACTTTTAGAGCCGTGGAAGAAGCCCAAGTGCTGGGAACAAGGGTCATTTTGTATGGGGACCATCCTTCTTCCAAGAAAATTATTGCAATTGGGCTCCATTGGGATGAACCTGAGAAGGGTCACTGAGGATTCAGCACTTCAGGACTACATTCCACTCTTTCTTTAAGAACTTTGTAATGACAGATCTCATCACACAGGTGTTTCCTACTAACTTCAGCTGGGCCTGTTCATTGCTTAAGGAGCTGTGTTTTTAAAGGGGAGTTCCCCCTTCCTTGCAGTCTTAGACCCTAAATGTCCTGTTTCAGCTAGCATAGAGGTAATTTTCTTCTCAGTAGCCTCTATGGTGCTGTGGGATTCATTGTGAGGCTAAGGATAACAAACTGATATTTCAGCTGTTGCTGAGCAGTGTTTCTCCTATCAGGATCTTTTCAGTGTCTCATCCTCCGCCAGTGTGGAGCTGCACAAAAAGCAGTGAGAGAGCAGGGCCAGGACAGGTAAACCCAAACTGGCCAAAGGGATATTCCATACAACAGAATGTCATGCTTATGTACTTATATGTAGTATGTAAACTCTGGGGGAGTCGGCTGGGAGTGGATGATCACTGCTTGGAAGTAGGATGGGCATTGGCCAGTGAATGGTGAGCAATTGTATTGTACATCACTTGTTTCTCTTGGTTGTCTTTTTTTTTTTTTTTCTCTCTCTGTCTCTGCTTTTTATACTACTAATATTATTACATTATATTATTAATAGCTATTTTGCTTCAATTATTATGCTGCTCTTATTTCAACCCATTTTTCCTGATTCTCCTCATCTCATGGGGAGGTTGGCATTGAGCAGCTGCCCAGTGGTTGGTGTCTGGGATTAAACCATTACAGTCTCCTTGGTGCTCAACGTAGGGCCTGGAAGGTTGAGATGATGACTGATCTGGAAGGTTGAGATGATGACTGATCTGACCAGAGAGTATTAAAACAAGTTTGTTATAAGCCTTCGTTGCATTGTTTTAATAGTCACTGGTTACAATGCTGATTTATTTGCCGCTGGAGTGGTTGTGCTTGTTCTCAGGGCTGTGTTAAGCAATACCTTACTTGCAGCATTTGTTTCTGTTTTGGTGTCTGTCGCCTTCGGGGCCTGGGTTCTGTTGTACTTCCTCGTATCGGCTTTTGATCTGATAAGAAGCGCTGGCTGCGGAACCAGCCCGGTGTGTTCTCAGCATCGCCGTCCCCTTCGCGTTTCCGGAGCCATCTGCCGGGAACTGTTAACAATTACACCAATCCCCATGACAGGCGCTGCTACTCGAGGGAGGAAACGGATTCAAACTCCGGCAGCAGGCTCTGAAGCTACTCCAGTTCTGTTAACGAGCACTGGGGCCACGCACACTCCAGCTGATTTCACTTGCAGGGATGTCCAGCACACCTGAAGTCGACTGCCCCGGGGTGGAAGCACAGCCCCACCATCTGCCATGGACGGATCCAGAGGCAGCAGAACAGCTCTGGAACACCTGCAGTACTTTGATGATACCATTGTGTGGGGCAATATAGCAGAAGTGCTTGAGAAAGGGAAGAAAATAGTCTAACTCATTCTGAACGACAGTTTTGCCATAAAACAAAGGAAAGGTTAAGGGACCTGCACAGGAGATGCAGCTCTAGGGAATACAGCAGTGAGAAGGGTGATGCCACATCCCAATGGATGTGATCATAAAACAATAGCAATGTCTCCACCAACTAATAAAAAAAGAAATAGAAGCTTTCTTAGGTGCTGCAGGTTTCTGGAGAATGCGCATTCCAAACTGCAGTCTGGTTGTCATCTCTCTCAAGAGTCCAGGAAGAATGATTTCAACTGGGGCCCTGAGCAACAAGCCTCTGGACAAGTCAAGCAAGAGATATTAATGCTGAACAGAACAAGATGTAAAGAATGTGCTTTACATATTAATGCTGAACAGAACAAGATGTAAAGAATGTGCTTTACACCACAGACAGGGGAAACAGTCCTACCTGGAGCCTCTGGCAGAAAGTACCAGGGGAGACTCAAGACTGATCCTTATGGAGTCACACCGACTGCAGAGGATGGAAAGCCCATGATAGTGTAACTGATGAAGAGCTACTGGCAGCTTATGAAGGTGTTGAAGCCGCTTTGGAAGTGATTGGTGCAGAAGCACAGCTCCTCCTGGCACCCTGCTTACACCCTGGTGCTGCATTGGATATTCAAAGGAAGGGTCCCCTCTTCACATCATGCAACTGATGGTGGCACAGTTGTGATGGAATCAGAACTGGTTTCAGCATGCAACAGTCCAACACCACGTGCCATCTTTCCTGCCCTGAAAAATTATTATGAAAGATGAGGACTGGGGTCATGGATTGAATGAATTCAGTGGACTTTTGTAAGCATGGCCTATAGACGTAGAGAATGGTATCTGTGCGGATATCCAGCAGAAGATGGAAAAGGTGATGGGATGTTTGGAAGTGTGGGACCTGGCATGACACAAGGTTGGATACTGTTCTGGTTTCAGCTGGGACAGAGATAATTTTCTTCTTTAGTGCTATGCTGGGATTTTGGATTCAGTACGAGAATAATGCTAACACATCAATGTTTTGGCGGTTGCTCAGTAGTGCTTACCCTAAGTGAGGGACTTTGAGTTTCATGCTCTGCCCGTGAGGTGCTGCAGCAGAAGCCATGAGGGAGTACGGCCAGGAGCAATGACCCAAACTGGCCAAAGGGATATTCCTTTCCCCAGTATATAAACTGGAAGGGGATGATTGCTGCTCAGGTGTGGGCTGGGCACTGGTCATCAGGGGCTCAGCAATTGCATAGTCATTACTTGTCCTTTCTTGTTGTTATGCATTTTTTTCTATCTCTCTCCTAGCAGTAGTAGTAGTAGTAACGTTAGTTTATTATCATTAGTACTATTGTATTTTACTTTGTTCCAATTATTAAAGTGTTCTTATCTCAACCCACAGGTTTTATACTTTTCTGTTCCTGACTCCTCCTCAGCCCACGGTGGGGGAGGGAGTGAGCAGCTGCATGGTCATTGTCCTGTTTGGGGCTGAGCCATGTCACCAGCCAGAGGAGCAAACAGTTTGCTTTTCTTCCCCATAAGATCCCTATGTGTTACTTTGTTTTCCTTGTGCAGTCGTGCTCTAGTTAATGAATTTCCCCTGCAGTTCTGCTCTATAAATCTCCTTGCCACTGCTGCCTTCAACTTTGGCTTATGTTTTCTGAGCAATTCCAACAAAAATGAACTGCTGTTCAATTAAAAATTAATATATATGAATGCAAACATGTACCTCTGTGGCTCATGGGTGCTACTAGAATCAGTCTGGGAACAGCTCTTTAAAAAATATGATTTAGGATATTTTTTGATGTGCCAACGTTTATTTATTTTAAAAAGTAAGAAAGTAAAAAAATTAAACATGAAAAATGTTTACACGACAAAAAAAATCTAAAGCAGGAACATGAGCCTGAAGATATGATGATGTCTCAGAACATGTCCTTCTTTATATTTGCTTTGTTTTCTGCTGGCATTTTTAAAAGAAGTACTCTCACAATTTTGTTGGTTTTAGTTTCATGTTTTGGATTGAAGAGAAGATATGTATGGAAGCTATTGGGAACTGGGCAGTTTCATCTGATCCAACAAGTCACTGGTCATTTCAACATGAGTTTTCTCATCAAGAAACAATTTTAAAAAAATCAATATTAATTCCATTTTGAAGAGGCTGTCAGAGATCATTTGAGTAAGCTGCCAAAACTTTCTAGGTAAGAAAGCTTTAGGATTAATCTGGTTTTTGAATTTACAGTAGCAACTTGCCATCAGTCATTTATCAGACTGACTAAAAGCAAAGATTTTGAGCAAGTTACTAATTTCTGTTATACTAATCTATAAATATATGAATATTATGCTGCTGAACTTTAAAGCAAACTATTTGAGGTTTAGACCTCAAAATAGAACTACATTCTTGGAGAGAACTACCTGCCTGTCTAACAGAGTTCTGTACCCCAATTATTCTCACAAAGAGGAAAGAGAAGATGGGAAGACTCTTTTTTGTGACAAGCTCTGAATACAAGCTTAACATTGTATTTTTTAATTTTGATGTGGGTTATTTCTTTCTGTTCTTTCACTGCCTGAGAAGGATATCTGAAAATACAGAGAGAATAAAGGAAGAAGAATATAATAAAGACAGTGTGCTCCAGAGTTTGTCTGTTTAATGCCACATATTTCTGTTGGTAATGAGAGATACTAATTCTGCTAAAAACCTTTTCTTGACTGAGACCATCACAGCTACAACAACACCACTAGCAAATCCATAATCTTTTAAATGTAGCATTCCTCACTGTCCTGCTAATGGATGGGGGATAAATAAAAATTCACCTGCTTTCAAATTAATGCCCAGAGAAGGCACTTCAGTAGTTAAATGTCTGATTTTAGTAATACAATCTCTAAACACAAGTTTACACAAAGTCTTAGTGAATGACAGAATTTACTCTGTCTCTTCTATTCCTGCATCCTTAATTAAGGGATTTGATTACTTTTACCTGAATACTCCTGAATTGGGTTGCTTCATCATACCAGGCAGCTCTGGTTCTTGCCACACAGATCTAGGGAGGCTGCTAATTCTGGGGCCTTGTGTGGACACTCCTACCTTCACAGAGGAGTTCATAGTAACATCTACCATATCCCTGAGATGGGGAATGGGAGTTCCTGTCATTTTGAGTTAGGTGATGTAAATGAGTTATGGTACAACTTCCTCAGTTTTGCTCAGTGACAACATCTGTGCAGGACGGAGAAAATGTTTTGTATTCCAACTGCTTCTGTATCTATGAAACAGTTTGTGCCCCAGCTTTGAGACAGTGATCTAAGAAACCAATCATTATTATGGATGTTTATATGGAAAACCCTTTAGTTTTACTCTTTACTAAGGTACATTTAGGCTGGAATTCATTCATTCTTTTGCTCTAACAAGTATAATGTGGATCTCCTCAAAAAACTGGACCTCCTCTTGCTGAGAAAAGTAGGATACCTGTTACAGAGGGAGCTGTTATGATGACAAGATCAAGACTAAACAAAAAGCAATCAAGTCTCAGTAAAACACCATAACTGGATCGTGTAATGCACATGACCAACAGCCCAGCCCAAATCACTCCAGCCAGTGTGAAATTCACCTGGCATGGTGCGGTGGTGCTTAAAGTCATCAACCCCTGAATGTGCAAGCATGTTCCTCTTCAGCTGCAGCAAGGGTGAACATGGTGTCTTGTTTCTCACCCAGCTATGGCCAGATGCAGACCTCCAACCTGTTCTGCTAATACCAGAGGACACATGGATACATAGCTTTCCTTGGGAAAACCCAAGAGTGATGTGCTTTCTTTCAGAAAAGGGTGTGTGGGAAAAAGGGAATCAGTCCAATTACCTGGCACTGACTTTCATTTTTTATCCTCAGCCTGCAGACAGGCTTTAATTCCCTAGTGCCAGGCACACGAGTCTAAGTGAGACACGACCACAAAGGTGAAATGGTGTATTTCTGGGATGGTGCCAGAATGAGCAGGCTGAGGATTTGAATACACAGACCTGGTTTTCTGTTCCATGCCCTAGAACCTCTCTCTGTTTTAATATGATACCCATAAAAACCTTCCAAGACTGTGAGACAAAATAAACCCCAGAGCATGTCTATATAAAGGCATTCAGCAAGAAGCGCTGAAATTTATTCAAATTAATTACAGTAGAGACCTCTGACTTTGAACTTCTAATTCACAACAGCAGTAAAAAAGGAAATGGTGAAATGGGTTGTATTAAAGTGCAATGATGTGGAAAAACCATTGAAGTAACACAAATTAGGCTGCAGTGAGAAAAGAAACAACAGTCTCATCCAAGCAATGACAGCAATATATAAGTAAATTATGTTACAGATAATTTACAAAATAACTTACATAGATGAAGATAAGCTGAATTTCATGTTGCTATTCCATTGTTAAATATCAGACTAAATATTCCTGGCCAGCACAGTATTATATGGAATAATAAAAAAAAAGATCAGAGGATTTCCGTGTTGAAAAAGATGCCTGAAGTAAAACCCTGATCAGCATTTATATTGCAGTACTGCAAGAAAACTAAGTATTTATGAATTGTAAAGTGACACATTCAGCAGCATGAGGACTATAAATACATCTTTTACATTGATACATCATATCTACACACATATACATATCTACACATGCAGATACATACACACAAGCATGTACATGCACATATGTATGTGCATACATTTATGTGTGTGTATATACATGCTTCAATTTGTCTGACCATGGTCAGCTGCATTTTGATTGCCTCTGGGATAGGGTTGCTTCTGCATCATTCTTAGAAGTGTTTGTCATTTAAGATTTCTAATCTGAAGCCTCTAAGACATAAAATTCTGGCATGAAGATAGAATTCAGGGCTCAGCCATCAGTGAGTCTGATGGTTAACAGCAGTTCCCACTGACATAATCTGCTGTGCTTAGTGCTTCTGAAAAGTTATGCTCTTCATGTCCCCATTATTTTTAATAATATGGTACATTAATCAGTTAAAAACGTGTTTTCTTATAAGCAAAAGTATTTGAGAGATGGACAAGAATGAATACAGTATTCTATATATGCACTTAGTTTTGTACTGTTTGTAAGGATGGTGTGTAAAGAATGTCTAACAAAGTGAAAATTTACAACATTGGCTTGCATCATACCCTGAAAAATGGCAAATTTAGCATCACCCTTAATTTAAAAAACTTTAAAATACTCATCTGTAGCATAAATCTGACTTTTTTTTTCCTCCTGTGCTCCACTTTTATAGAAAAATTATGTAATTGGGGATTTTTTATCAATTAATCTGGAACAAACACTGTGGACTAAAAATATGTTGGATTTCCAGCCCTCCTAAGTTTGTTTGAAGGATGGCTATTGACCCATAGTGCGGTTACAATAGTTTCCTCTGCCTGTAACTGCATGTTGTGAGAGCTGAAAGTAACCATGCAATTACTATTTATTAAAAAATCATTTAGTGAATAAGAACATTTGTGTTTCATTGTGCACCTGCATAAGGAAAAATATACTACTAAATTGCCAAGGCTATGTAAACAGTGATCTTAGTAAAGAATTTGGTTGTGAGGCCGAACAAAAAAAAGGGCTCTTCTATTGCACATGTCACTAAAATGTTGGAAGGGAAAAAGTAATAGTTTCTCTTGATGTTGCTGTGGCCAGTGGATTGGTCATGTCTGCATCCCAGCCTCTAGGGAGCAGAAGAATATCCTGAAAATCCAAGAGGAAAGGGTTGACCAAACCTCTTTCCTCGTTGCCATAGGAGTCCCATTCACTGCACTGACCGAGGTATGTCCTTGGAGAAAGGGTTTCTTGTGGAGAAGAAATTGTAAACTTGGATTTATTTTCCTCATACCTATCCTGTACAGTGATTGCTATGTTACTTGTTTACAATGAGCATTTAGCATTGAACACATTTTGTTTGCTCACATTCAGATTCTGGCTGTTACAAAAAGATACAGTTCTGCAGGAACCTGATCGTGTGTCAAGGAGAAAACGCGCTTGATGCTAACAGCTCTTCAGAGCAGAAACCTCTACAAAATCCTATTTCAAATCATTTAACTTTTATTTACAACTTCACATTCCATGCACTTCTCACTGGGATCTTCTGGGAGAACCTGTAAAAGTCACCACTAAAAATATTCAGAGCTGGCAACACAGTACTGGTGGTTCTCCAATGAAGTCCTATGTCCAGAACTCTGCAGCAAATGACAATCTCCAGATTTACCTTCCGGGGAGGCGGGATGAACATGTCATATTAGCCCTTAATATCAGAGAAGCTGGTGCTACTGACATTGCAGCTATCACTGCAACTTGATGATGTGCTCAAATTGCTGGAGGCAGTGCCTGATTCTGGAAAAAGAAAGGGAGAAAAAACCACACAAGAAAATATTATATAGTGGTTGTTTTTCATTACTTTCTTTGATAATAGAAATCTTCAAATAGACAATCATCTTACTTAAAATACATTGCCTACCAGAGCTGCTTAAAGACTGAGCTGATTTTGAGTTGCCTATGAGCATCAGCAGATTGTTTGCTGGAATCCAACCTTCTCTACCACTGCTCAGGTTCTTTACAAACCTAAAAAAAACATATAAAAAAAATAGAAGTGAGACTTCTTCATTTGATGCCTTTGGAAGTTTTGCCCTAAACATCTGCCTTCTAAACACAGTTCTGCGTATAAAAATTTCCAAACACAGATCTGCGTACCAAAGTCCATCCTCCCCTTCACGAATCAGTTGAACTAGATCTCCACTTTTCACTGTAAATTCTTCAGAAACTCCTTTGTCATAATCAGTCACAACTGTATATTTACCAGGAGTCTAAATGCACACAGAGGAAAGAAAACAAATTATTTCTGTTGAGTACTTTAAGGTATGTTGCAGCTTTTGTTATGTAATTATAATACTTTTCCCTTCTTTCCCATCTACCTACATGCTGAAAATGGTGAAAATATACATACTGGGGCATTAAAATTCTGCTGATTGACTATATGCAAATTCAATTAATTAATTTTCATATCCTGGAAAACATTCAGTGAAATGTTGCCACTACAACAATTAATTCACAATTAATTCATTTGGCTACAGAAAATAAAACCAAACGAAACGGAAAACCTGGCAAATCCACGCCACGGCATCTGTGTGGAAGTCTATTGATGTGGTCACTGAACCTGGCATCACTTGATTGCTGCATCATGGCACAAGCAGCCAAGACTCGCTGGGCTGCAGGTGTGCAAAGGCACAGAAGGACCTCCCCAAGGTACAAACACCAGGCTGATTTAAGAGAAGGAGTTCTTCTCCATTGCCCTGGGAATATTGCCCAGCTGAGCATTTCAAGACAGACACTTTCCCTCCTGCAGCTACAAAGCACTCCTGTATCCCGCCACACACACTGTGCTGCTAGCACTTAGCTCCATAGGAAAGCATTTCTGGTTACCAGCTTGATCTCGCCTGCCCCTCCTCCTCCTTCTTCCTCCGCATCCGATGAATTCAGCGGCTCTTCAGCACTAGACCAGCCGTCATTTTCTTCGGATGCATCAAGAGAATGGGATGGTTTGGCCCAACCTTGGGGAAGAAACAGCCAACAGTTAGCTTTGCAGCAGGGAGCCACTGACTGGGAGAAACGTTCTCCCCACTGAAAAGCTTGTAAGTGATCAACATGAACAGGAGGAAAACTGACACAGGGAGGTTGTTACAGTCACTGGGGGAAATTCACTGCTGGTGAAAGTTGGCCTGTTTCCATCCGAGTAAGTGGAGTTGTGGAAATGCATTGGCAGTGAATTTAGCCCTTTGGATTTATACAAAGGGAAATTAAAGGAGAAAATGCAAATTTCCAACTGAAAAGCAAATACATAAAAATATTTGTAAAATAAATGCTATACAAAGATAAATGAGGGATAGATCATATTTTTTTCTTGGGAGGAAGCAGAAGACAGGAACATACACCTTTTGGGAAGAGGTTAAACAAAGAGGGTTGTCACCCAAAGCGACCTAACCAACTTGCTGGAGTAAGGGATAGATAAACATTGCCTCCTTCACACTGTCAAAAAATTCCCCACAAGTTACAAGCACTCTGTACCTCACCTGACAAGGTAGCCCAATATTTAAGAGTGTTCAGGCTGACACAAGAATACTTAAGTGCTCTGAACCATCTTGGTGTTAAGTCACTGCACCAAACACCACAATAACATTCTCCTGCCTGTCATTTACTGTTTTTTCTCTCTCAGGGTGAAGCATTTAACTTATTCATAAAGATGAATCATATCCAGAGTGCACAAAATCCTCTTCCAAATTAAAGTACATTACGTTTTATTACTGGGATGTTATACACTGAGTTCAGCAGCTGCTAATAAATGTGTTATTAGCTTATAATGAAAAAAAGTCATAATAAAAGAGACAAGTATTTGTAAGCAAGATTTTCTTTCAAGCCAAATAGTAACAACAGTGAAACTCAATGAGAAGAGTGAAAGGAAGAACAAACCTCCCATTTTACATAATTATTAGTTGAATTGAAAAAGTATCAGCATTTTTGCTTTGCACTGCTCCTGAGACATTTGACACACAGCTGGTCATGCCAGTGCATTAGGCAAAAGCTGAGCAGCATCAGAATAAAGCCAAATAAATCATAGAAAGGAGTCACACCCAGAGCACACCAAACAGAGTGAGACTTTTACCTTTCCTATGCTGCTGAGTGACCTGCACAAGGCTGGAAGTACTGACCCATTTGGCCCTGTTGAGGGTTAAGAATGAACTTCTTTCTGTGAAGAAACTGAGTAATAAATTTCTGCTGTATTCCATGAAAATTTCCTTGGAATCTTATATCTTGTAGTTGGCTTGTTGGATACAGCTGAAACCATTTCTGTTGTTTCTAAGTTAGGAACAATGCAACAAAAGAAAACTTGGGTTCTCCTAATTGTTCCAAGCTCTCACTAGAAACAGTACCAATGGGTTGCACAAAAGAAAAAGAAAGTAAAATCAGTCTAAGAGCCTGTAACCTCTTACTCATTGGATATCAGCTTTGTTATATTTTGGGTAACAGCTCTTGTTCCTCAGCCTCTTCTTATATTATGCTGATGTGCTAAGAACAGACTGGCCTACTCCTGCCATACCAAGGATACTCCTCCTCATACAAGCTGGCAGTCTACAATTAACAAGTCTTCCTGCTGGGAAGGGAGGTGATCACTATGGTAGAATTCACATCAGCAAACTATGGGAGTGAAATTATGCATGTACATTCCATCTGTGTGTGTGTTCTCCAGGGTGGGACTACATCAGAGCTCCCTATAAAGGCAGGGAAGGAAAAGGGTAGGCAGTCCTGAGAAATGACAAGGTTATTCAGAAATTATTTTAGACATAACGATGCCAGGGAAACCAAGAATTCATTAACTGCTTCTCTTCAGAAATAATCTAACAGGTTTCTCCAAAGAGCTGTGATCAGCCTATGACATGTAATTCTGACACTAGTTCATATTCCTTGAGCTCAGCATAAATCAGAGCAATGCAGCAGTGAAAGGAAATGAATGGGGGCCATGGGCTCTGCTGCGGCCATCACTTGGCACAGTTTCATCCCAAAATGAAGGTCAGCTCCCTGCTTATCCCTCTTTGAGCTGGGCAAGGAGAAGAGATAAAGTGCCAGAAAAGAGATTGGAAGGTGCAAGACAGAAGGAGGAGTTAGTAGATGTTTTACACTGATTTACTTGGTTTAGTGGTTTCACAAAGTAAGATGCTTCTTACTCTAGATGGGACAGAACACCAAATCAGATAAGCCTGTTAAAGGACACAATAATTTTACTGTAAATCAGCAATGATCTAGGACTCTCTTCCTTGGAAAATTCCAGCACCTGAGGAAAAGGCCACAGAACACACTTTTCTTTCACACATTTTTGGGCCCTCAGGATTTCCATGGTACCTGGAGATCTCCGAGTTTTGTCTGCTACCTGCAGAAGAATAACCTTGTAAGTCTCATATCCGCCCTTGTGGTGTTTCTGCACGTGTCCAGCCCAGGAATACATTGCCTGCTGCTCAGCAAGGTGAATAGTGTTGCAGTTTCCCCAGCACAGCAGCTGAGCTTGCACCACTTGCACAGACAAGATAAAAGGCTTCAGAAACCTGGAGGGGAGGCTGATGGTAGGGATCGAAACAGCTTCATGTTTAGACAAATATTTTCCAAAGGACATAGTAGTGGAAAGAGTCGGGAGGAGAGGGACTGCTCTCCTTGTGCTCTTTACTACTCTAGCTCATTAGCCCTAGGGATTTGTACTCAAACTTTCACCATCAGCCCTGCTGGTTAGAAATGGGTTGTTTATTGAAGTACTTTCCTATTCGCTGCTTAGCTGTGAGTTAGGAGAATAGGAGGCAAATTGCTGCAAGGGGCTCAGTTAAGTCATCTGGGGTTCACAGGGTGGTAAAAGTTGCCAATTATCATCCAAAGAAAGATGCAACAGGGCTGTGTCTGCAGTAATAAATGCAGATCTAAAACGGAAATTCCTCATGACAGTGGTCTGAGTTTTGGAATTGGTTTTTTTTTTTTTTAGAAGTTAAATCCTCTCCACAAGGGCCCCAGTGACAGAAGGATTTTAACACTTGGAAAACCATGGTGGCAGAGTAGCTGGGCAGCCCTGTAATTCCATTAAACACATGGCTCTCTCTTCAGCAACAGATCTCTTTCCCCCTGTCTTCTAAAAACTAGTTACCCATATGCTACTCTATTTAAATCAAGGTAAAACTTCAACCAGTTGTGCTATCAAAACGAGTATATATAGATCCCCTTGGAAAAACACAGCTGATGTCAATACTCCTGCACACAACAGCATCACACAGGTATTCCCAGCACTCTGATGTAACGTATTACAAGAGGGATGTGTGGGTTCTTGTGGAGTACAAGATGTGGCAGCACTGTACCTCTTGAACCAAAAGGAGTTGGGTCACTCACTACTTCGTGCCGTTTGGCTTTTTTGTCAGGACTGGTAGGAGAAGCTGCAGGAGGATGAATAGGTAAAAAACACAGAATAGAGATAATGAAGAACTGGAAAAAAGAGAATAGGTGGATTGCATGCTAAATACCTTTGAGTTTACACTGGAAAACAAGTGGATTTCTGTAATAAAATTTTAGCTGTCACTGGTGCATGGCAGCAGAAGGAATTAACTATTTACAAGTAGATATTTGAAGATAAATGGATTAATTTATTTTACAGTAATAGATTAAAATATATGCAAACTTTCCTAAATTGACTAGACATCAACTGAATACAATTAACTTCAATTGGCAAACATTACCAAATTAAGCAATCACTTTTATGTAAATCTAGTGCTACAGCAATACCTGGTCCTGTAAGGAGGATCATTGGCAATGTCTGGCTTTTAGCAGAAGGAGATGGAGTTTCTGTCAAGGCAAGCATGGGACATTAGTGCTCACCTCTATAGCATTAGATAAATAACCCTAGAGTCTCTCCAGAAACAACTCAAAGGTAATTGGGTTTTAAACAGGCATTCTGATGGGGGAAAAAATATCATGCTGTTGATCAAGTGCCATCATCTTAATGCAATTCAGACTGTTCAAAGACAGCTCTTCAAAGCAAGAAGTGACTGTACCAGTGTGATTACTTGGCAGGAGGAAGCAAGAAAAGTCTCAAACACTTTTTTCCTGTCTGGGAAAAAAGAGGCAAAGACCACTTCTGGAAGAATAGGGAAATTCTCACTTATTTTTCTATCCAGCAAAACCACATTGTCAGACACATTCTGCTGTAGTTATTTATGCTTTGAGAATTTTGTTAGCAAAGATGCCAATAAAAAGTCCTCTATAAAACCTTCACAGAATCACCTTGATTCCTTTTTGCCAAGTACAAGTGCATTTGGGGCAGATCCACTGAAGCTAGGAGCAGGCCAGGTGTCTGGTGAGAACACAGCTTCCTTCCTCTGGTTTTTCTACAGAAACGGGGCACTATAAACTCTGCCCTTGGCCTTGACAGTGAGACTGGAGGCACTGGAAATCACACTCCTTCTCTTGCATCTCCACAGCCCCACTTTTCCTAGCTGCATCTCCCCCTCCCACTCTGGAGCTGGCTTCCCTTGAAATCTCCCTGTCAGAGGCACCGACTAAGGAACCTAGCTTGACCTTGGAAGAACAAGCTAGTGTGTACACTGAAAACCTATCACACTACACACACATACAACGTGATGCTTCAATTACAGCCTTACACAGAAAACAGTCTAGCCTTATTTTTAAGTTACCTTTCTGACTTTTGAGGTTAGTAAAGCCCTGCAGCGTAAAGCGCTTTTTTGACAGTACAAAGCATTCTGAGGTAGAGCTACTGTTGTCTACAAAGGAAGAGAGAGACACAGAAAGAAAAGGGAGAAGGCCATGAAAAGATCAAGGCACAAAGTCATTTGCAGCTATGCCAGGGAACCTGCACGTTAGAATGAGAATGGACAACTGAAAGTCCAGGTACAACACAAGTGTCCAGTTGTTCTTGCTATGCAAGAGCTTGTACTACCAGTGGTTCAATAAAAAATTTCCACGATGGGAAAAAAATTAAAGAGAAAAAGCAGAACAGAACAAAAAACTCCCTCTCACATCAAGTAATACCAAATAATTTTGTCAGAGAAAGAGAACCCTGAGAAGTTGGTCTTCTCTTAAGAGAAGACCTACTGCAGACTTCGGCCTCGTAACAAATAGTTCCCACCTGCCTTTGGCTACCATCCACTCAAGATGGCTTTGGACCTGTCCACATCACACACTGGAATTCAGAAATCAATCCCAAGCTAAGGGCAGATGGGAGCAGCACGCTGAGCAGTGTGGGCAGCACTTTGTGGGTGGGCTGCCCTAGGGCTGAAAGCAGCAAAGCCCTGCTCCTTCAGGAGCCCTGCTGCCTCCCCTGCACTACTGTGGCTACTCGGCTGGTGGATCTGCCTGTGCAGCTGCAGTGCAGGCATGCTCCTTGCAATTAAAGACCACAACATGTATGGGAAAACTCACCTTTGCCTTTCTCGGGATACTTTGGTGCTACTGTAGTGCCACAACCTTCTAGACTTGTGAGATCAGCTTTTTTCTCCTCCATTTTTTTGGTATTTCTGATGTGGTTCCGTGAAGGACTGTTTATTAGAAGAGAATGAAGACAATCAATCCAATCACAGGCTTTTACATACAGATATATAGGCTGAAAACCATTTATTTATTCCTTCTCAGACTGTAGCTCCCAGGACTGAAAAAGTCATTGGTGATTGTGCATTTAAAGACCATGGGAACATGGAGATGAGAAACACCTCTCCTGACTAACTGCAATCACATGTACCACAGCAGTGGGAGTTACTGGAAAGATGTCTCAGGACAACTTCCACTCACTTGCAGCTAACAGAATGTACTAGGAATAAAAGAAGAAAGATAAAGGAATAAACTCTGCCTCCCAGAAGCTCTTAATACTGGAACAAATGAGGGATCTTGCAGTGGATACCCATCACAACTCCGTCTGGGAATGGGATAGAGAAAGGCACTTCACAAATACAATGTATCTGGGAAATTCTCCCTGAGCAATAAGTAGATGCATAAAAGATGCAGGGCAGAGAGCTACCAATACCTATTTGTGCACACACCATATGGACATGAGCACATGGCCTTGTGGATAGGTGTATGCACACACATATGAAAAACCAGACTGAGTAGCAGAGGATTAAAGAGAGGTGTCAGGCAAGGGCAGAACAACAGATGGGAACAGAAGAATATATAGGTTGGTATGGTGAAGGATAGAAAAAAACCCAACAACTTCACCCTGAAATTGGGACACTGGAGGAATTAACACATTACTTCGGTTAAAAAAAAAAAAAGTAAATTAGAGTAAAAGAACAAGAGACAGAGAAAAGATACTACAGTGAAAAAGACAAATAAGAAGGTAACATGACATTGGAAAAGGAAGAAAAAGTAAAGGAGAAGAAAATTGAAGGAAGAAAAAAGCTGTTCCATAAAACTCTCTTATCTGGACCATAATGTATATAATCAGCTGCTCAAGAAGCAGACACATAATCCCACCAGGATTTTGGCTGGTGCAGAAAATTACATTTCTGTGGCATTCTCTATCATCTGGCAAACCACATGCCACTGCTGCTCAGTTTAACAGCTCTGGAGATGTATAAACTCCAGGCTTTACAGCTTTATAGTAGGAAGAGAACTAAACCACAACCTTAAAACACCAGGACCAGTATTAATGGGTAGAAGCAATGAAGAGCTGCAAATCAGATGTATTAGTATATTCACAAGATGATGTGACAACATACTTACCTTGCACAAGATGATGCTGGTAGTGGTAGAGGTAAGCTCTGTGTTTGTTCTAGTGTCCTGTGCTGACTAGCTTCTATAACAGAGGAAAGAAAAAGAACTATTAGAATTAATTTGTGTCCTACACCAGGAGGACCTACAGGGCAGGATCTGAGGATTGAAGAGAAAATAGATTTAAAATGATTGACAAATAAAAAAGAGAATCTCTGAAGTATTTTACCTCTGCATGCCTGCAGTTGACTTGTTAGCACTTTTCTTATTTCATTTACCCAAGTAGCTTTAACTTCAGGGGTTGGTGCCTACCCAAAAATAAATACAATCAGCCATCAAGCACAGAATAGTTACTACACAAATAGTTACATGCCAAAGCATAGACTCAGAGGAATCATTCAAGAGGGACAGACAAAGCTCCCTCTGCAGAACTTCTGTGACCAGAAACTGGTTGTAGCCACTGGAACAGGCTGTGCATGTGCTGCAGCCAAACCCCATCTCCCAAGCCATCCACTACTCCAGTGACAGCTATAGTAATGGTGCATACAATATCCTCTATGGACATTGTAAGACGTGATTATTTTTTTTCCCCAGAAGTCTCTTCTGTTGAAACAGGATTAAGGTTTTCTTTTTTTCTATACATTTCCTCATCATACTCTGTAAGTGTCATAACAGAGGGGAAAAACCCTCCAGATCTTAGGGTTAGACTCCTCCTCCCCTTTCCTTTCTTTTTTTTTTTTTTTTTTTTTCTGAATGCAGGGCCATGTTATTTACCTGTACAATGTAAACTTCTTCCCTTGCATTATACCAGATTTCAAATTTTTTTGCATCACCTTTGACATTTTCTGTTATTCCAACTGCAGCCATCTGGAAGCAAAGAGAACAGAAGCTGACCTACTGCATTGCAATTATGTTAAAAACAGAAGAGGGAAGCTACTGGTATTCTTCGGTATCTTATTTCTGAAAAGGAAAACCCCATCTGGCTTCTTGCACAAGGAAAATACTAGCTAACAATTTGTGATCCGTGTGTTGGAGACATGAGATTTAGTGCTTTGTATCAGCACGGCTACCTTGGAGGGAAGAAAGGTTTAGGTACATTAGATTGAGACTGACTTGTAAAATGTTGCTTTTAAAATCCAGACCAACAAACCCTTCATGATTTTTACATTACCTTTCCCTGTGTTTTCTGTGTGATTAATGCAACTGCCTTTCAGCTGGACAGACAGCAACACAAAATAACACAGACCTGCAGCACCAGTCAGGTTTGTCTGAAAGAGTGAAGCTCCCAGTACAATGCTGCAACACAGGTTTGCAGATAGAGCTAGAATATCACTACAGGCTAAGCCCTCAGTACTTTGACTGTCAGGGCTGATCAGTGTCTTACATTTAAGGAGTGTTTGTAGCTATAAGAAGGTGCTTTCTCATATCCCTCTCCATTTTCTTCTCGCTTTTTACAGAACAGCACTGCTTTCTCATGGAGGAAGAGGTGTCGCTGCATTGGCTTGAAGCGTGCCAAATCTTTCACCTTTGTGTGACCCTTTTTATGATCAGTCCAGACACTGAAGGATCCCTGCATTAAAAGCTTGCCCAGCTCATTCAGGTTTCCCTGGAACAAAAAAAACCAGTGATGTTTGTAACTACAGAGATAACATCAGATTACAATACAGACTCTGAACAGATCTTTAGAAGTCTGTTGCTCCAAATAATCTCTCATTTCAGTGTTTATGTTGGATTTGGAAATGCAATGAAATCAGTGTTGGATTTCTCCATATAATTTGCACTGGCCATCACTGTTCAGGCAGGATTTTACAGCCAAGAGTACCAGTAGCAGAGGCACAGAGAACTACATATAGAGAGAGGGAAGCAAAATACATGTTTGTTTGTTTGGTTCTTCCCCTCAAACTCTGCTCCAAATCTGCTTATATATTGTTTTGGGTTTTGTTATTTTTTTTGGGAACAGAAAGTTTTGGATGTAGTTTTACACCCAAAACAAAGAACAAAGAAAAACAAAGATCAAAGGAAAAACCAACTTAGGTAGACAGAGGAAAATATTAGTCATAGCAGGAAAACTTCAAAAGAGTATAAAGAGATCCCTTTCCTATTATTTTTATTACACAATTAAGTTAAAAGCATGTTTTGCAAAACACTCTTCCCATTATTAGTACATAGTATAGGGCATGCTGTATATATATCTAAAAAAAAAAAAAGAAAATAAAGTTAAAAGTAAGGAAAAATACTGCTACTCACATCATAGCCTGTAATGGCTATCTGGTGCATAGAATCATTAACTGCTTTAAGAATGCCCAGAATAGATGTTAGTGCTTCCTGAAGATCTTCAGCACCTTCACAGTTCTTACTGTACTTCAGCATTTCCTGAGTGCAATGGAATGACAACACACTTACCTAGCTTTTGAAACAGTAGCAACTAGGAATGTTCAAATTTTAACACTGAATTTTAGGCAGCGGGGCTGGAATGAGATGATCTTTAATATCCCTGCCAACCCAAACCATTCTATGGTTCTGGAAATTTAAAGTTAGCAAAGTGAAGCTTTATACCATATAATCTAGGCAGTTCAATAGTGGCTGGAACTCAATAGATCCTAAAGATTTACTTCTCATTTCTCCTGCTCGACAGCCAAATATATTTTGTTGATCTAGAGGTTTTGTAAGCTGTATGTAAGAACTTTACAAGACTAAATTTGCAAACACCTTTTGAATCATAATTGCAAAAAACAAAAACCAAAAAAAACCCACAAAAAAACAACCCCAAAAACCAAACCAAACCAACAATCTTCTAACAAAAGGATAGGGTTTTTTTAATTTGTTACTGTCACTGTGATATTTTCTGAAAAATCCTCTTTGACCAGGATTCTTCTCCTGAGAAGCTGAAAAGCCTCAGAAGAAAATAAAAACAATAATTGTCTCATTTTGCTACTCCTGCATTTTGCTGCTTTGGAATGTGGTCTAGAAAGTGTCTGTCCAACAAGTGATTATTTAATTGATTTCATGTAAATAATTTTTACTTAATAACCAATCATCATCCAGCTGTGCCAGACTCTGGAAAAGAGTCACGAGTTTTCATTAATCATTCTTGTTAAACCTTCTGTAAATATCCTTACTCTATTCTTTAGTATCGCATAATTGATATAATAACAAAGTAGCCTTCTAAGTACATAAAGTCAAATTCATCAATTCCTCCTCTGTCTTGGGGACCCCAGAAACTAGCACATGTTACTTTTCAAAACAAATTTTAAAACATAGCCAAACTTAAATTACTCTTTTAATTATGGCAAGGCCTGGCATGCTAGTAGCAGATTTAAACTTACTGCATTGGGTACTGGCTACACATCTAAAAAGAAATACCTTCCCTAAAGGGATTATTGGTGAAGCAGCATCTTTCAGTTTGATACAGATGAACACAGCAGCAAGTTCATTTGGAACTTCTCTGACTTCACAGTAGGAAAATAAGAATTTAGTCATGGACTGTAGGAAGTTAAGTTATTTTAAGTAAAAAACCTTTATAATTCTCCTCTTTTTACACAAGACTGAAGTAATTAATTCTTTAAAGGCTGTTAACAGCTCAGTTTTAACTCAAGAGTAAATCTGGTTTGACATGAATTTTTAAGCTATTGTTAAATACAAGAATTGTAACATGTCTTTGTGAGAAATATTTTAAACACGGCAAAATGTTATACAATACTTTAAATAAATTTATGGTAGTATATTGCTGCTATTTTGCTCTCTCAGTACAGCATATTTAAGTGATCACAACAGCCTCGTCCATACAAACACCACACAGTGTTCACTCTCAAGTGCATTTCCTAGAGTCCACCAAGAGAAGTTGCTGCAATATGGGTGGGGTGACTATAACTGAAGTACTTCAGACACTCTATAATCTTTATTTCAAGGTTTTCTTGGAACTTCTGTTTTCCCCTCATCAGTTTTTCACTTTCTTTTCTGCTGCAATCTAAGGGCAAAAGTAGTTACACAAGATGTCTCTGTGTAGTGTTTACTTATTAGAAGTTTTTTGACTGAAAGAAAAAAGAACTGACCTGAAAATGGATGAACAGGGATTTGTGTGTTTCCATTTACACATCTGCTCACTAATTTTTAGGTTTCTCTCCAGCAGGATGAGAGAAGCAGCATTCAAAAAAACTGCACAAAATGTCCTTAGCATTATAGTATAGTAAGACTTACCTTTAGCAATAGTTGGTATTTAGTTATTCTTTGAACAGGTTTCAGCAAGTATGAGTCCAAACTGAGCTTGTGGTCGAGTTTCCTTTGACATTCCTGTAATCAGGGTTGGATTTTATCAGGACACTAATCAGTATTTGTGCTATTTGCTCTTGAGAAGCTTCAGTAAAAATAAACCAAACAAAAAACCCCAGACCCCAACACAACCAAAGCCAACATTATTTTAGGGATTCAAGCAAGCATACCTGGAAAAATACAGAGTCTGAAAACTGCCTCCACAAACTTTCAGATCGAGGTTTATTTTGACAGTATTTTTCATAAATCTGGAAGTCTTCCATCTGGAATAAGGAAGACAAGCAAAAAGTTCATAAATTCTTGTGACTTTAATAGACAAAGCTCATAACAATTTTTTTCATTTTCAATAATGCTATGAAAGAATCCACCACCACCAAAAATTGAATCATTGTTTTTTGCTTAGCATGCCTCAAGGAATTGCAAAATCACTGATTTTGTAATGGCTACTAATTTGCAAAAGAAAACATTCTTGTTAATTTTTGCTTCAGTTGAATGTTAAACACCTTATGAAGAAGCATATGTTATATTTACAAATATATTTCTACTACAATATGAAAAATATCTCTATGCGTGCCCAGCCATGAGACCCACTGTGTAGATTTTTTTAAAAGACTTGTCCTTTTTCTTTATTTTCTTTTCACAAATGTGTTTTTCACTGGGATTCACACTAAGGTAAATCAAGCAGTTTTCTCTCCCTTATTACTTAAAAAAATAAATAGCATTACTTCAGCACTTGCTGAAAGCAAAAGGAAATAAAGACTGTTGAAAATGTCATAGTAACCATAGATATAAAGGAAAGAGCAGGCAGGAAATCAGCAGGCACAGAAGCACCTCCATCCCTCAGTTTTAAGAAACAGCATCTCCATGGATGTAGCCAGTAAAACAGAAGGGAGAGGGATGGCTCCTCCCAGGAGCATCAACAGGCAGCAACAGCAGGAGTCTGATTTTCATACACACATTCTTATTTACCCTTTATTATGCTACAGGTGAGACTCATTGTTTAGTACATCCCCAATTTAAAAAGTTTGTTTTTGTCATAGCTTTCTTTTTTTGGAAGAAAAATGTTTTGGACTTACACTGTTCAGGTGTACTCTTTAAAGAAAACAGAAAAGAACAAAACAACAATCCACTAAAGAAATCTAACCAAATAAACCAAACATTTTTAGTGATGTGAAACAATGCAGTGCATGACTCCCCTTCATGCTTTCCTGACTGACACTTTAAAAAAGCAGTTTTCTTTTAACAATATAGTAGTTTTTCCCTAACAAAATCAATTGTACTGCATAAGGGAAAGCATCTCTTAACTCTCAAATAACATCTACATTCTCAACCTCTTACATGCTCAGGACAAACAAAGGGGATGTGGTGGAATGAGAATCACTCTCACGTGTTACAACCCTAAAGAGGTTTGTGAATGAAGTGCCAGCAAAAGGCCACACACACCTGGTCCAGAAAGCACCGTCCTACTAGTTCTGGGTATTCCACATAGGTTTCTAGTTCTCTCAAGAATATCCTATGAGACAGAAAATTTTCTTAGAGCACACACTAAAGAAAGTTGTCATAATGTTCACAGTCTAGCAATTAGTTTTCTAAACTATTGGAAACAGAGTTGTAATGCTGCCAAACTAAACATAATTCTTCTAGATCATGTACTTTAAAGGCACTAGCAAATTAAAACAAATATTCTGACCAATTTCTTTTAGCTTACTGTTGCTGCAACTGAAATCAAATGCAGGGTTGGAGAAGGAAGGGGGATTTAATTTCCCTTCCTTATGTATTCAGCAGCAGGATTTGACAGTCTAAAGTGTTTAGGTTTTGCATTCCAATACTACCAAACACCACACACCAAACAACCCAAAACCACCTTCCCAAAATTGAAAATAAACCCATCCGAAACACAAATTAAAACAATCTGTGACAAAACATTCATTTTAGTTTTGCCTGAATAAGAAACAACTACTTAATATGCTTAACTTCTCTTGAAAATCAATTTCCCTTTCCTATGAATTTAAATGTTATCCTATGAAGAAACACCTCTCTAGCAGAAAGGACTCAGACTTCAGAGAGGTCACTCAATATATATTTTAATATATACAAATAAATATGATTTTATATATTAATTTTATATATTATTTAATACATCTATAGAAATATAAAATTAATCACCCTCAATCAGATGTAAGAGTTGAGAATTTGTGGTTTAGAACCATAATCTACTTTCCATAGCAAAAATAATGAAAAAAAGAAACACAAACAAAACCTACTTTCATTATCTTGTAACCAGATCCAAATATCTTGCTTCAGAAAGATGACCACAATGCAAAATTCTACCTGTGTACTGCATGTATGCAGTTTCACACAGCTTTGCTCATCTTCTACAGGTATTTTGCTTTTCCTCTTCTAAGCAATACAATGTTGACATGCCATACAGACAAGTAGAACTCTGTAAGGATCTTTTAGCAATCTAAGGCAGATTAAAATACAAAGTAAAGAATCTCATCCAAATGCTGTTTTTAGAACCGAATGCAAATACTCACCTGTTGTGAAAGTGATAAATTTCTTCCATATTCCCAAACAAGATATCTTTCTTATTTTGCAGTTCTGGTGGAATGAGATGAGCCATTAAGGGGTTGTCCATCTCTGCAGCATAACCCTGCAACACAGGAGAGAGGCACAATTATTATCTCCCTTTACTTGCAGTACTTCTCTCTCTAACAAGGCAGTCTGCCTTCAGGCTGACAGACGGACAAGAAAGAGCTCAGTATTAATCATGAAAGAAGAATATAAATACTGTTTTCCCATCACCCCACTCAGACACACACAAAGTCTTTAGAAAGACACTTGAGTAAATCCTGCAATTCTAGATAAGTGAGGATGAAACGATGTTTGCAATCATTTTCACCAAGTAAAGGCTCTACATTCCTATACTGCTTACAAATTATACCTCACACTCTTTTTGCTAAGACTTTAAACATCTGAATTTAGAGTCACAATTCCAGTACACACACAAACCTTCATGCCTGTCTTAGCCATTGCTATGAAGGAAGAAGCTGATTGTTATTTCTGCAGGCAACAGAAACCATTAAGCTAAAAATCTTCCATTTGCTTTAGTACCTAAAGGAGTAGCTTTAGATTCCCACATCCTCCACTTGTCATATAAGCACACATTCTCTTGTCTGTTTATCTGGCACAGAAAAGGACACAAGTGGCTTTAGTCCGGGACTGTTCTCCTTTGGCCTGAGGCCACTAATCTGCCTTCTCTCAAAACACCAAAAAAACCCTAAATAAACAAAACACTCCCAACAAGTCACCCAGAAAAACGGCAGGAATTATCTAACACGTGCATTATAAGCAGATTTCTTAATAGAAATAAATTTCTTAGCATACAGGCATTGAAGGAAGATGATTCTATCTTTTTTAGATTTGCATTAGATTTCTCTCTCTTGTGGTTTGTTGGTTTTGTTCGTTTTTAAAATTATTTTAAACACAAGGTGATCCTTGCATTAAGTCACATTGATTATAATGAACCACACCAAATTATAACAAACTAAATAATTAAAAGAAAAGATACACAAAGGTACACCTACAATTAAGATTTTCAACATTTTGAACATGTGCTCCAAACTACAGAAAATAGAAGAACTAGTTGGTAAAGTCAGCTAACCTGAAGAATTCAAGGATTTGGCTAGAACAGAATTTTTTTTAAAGAACCCAGAATCAGCCCTTTTAAAGTCTGTGTACTTTTTCCTGCAACACCGCACACAAAAAACTCCCCAAAAAAACCAAAACAAAAACCAAAAAAACAAACAAACAAACAAATCCAAAACAAAACAAAAACTCCCAGTGGTATAGGCAAAGACGATGGATCTCATAAATAGCTAAGCATTGGTTCCTTTCTCATATTTTTCCTGCCCCCAAGCAGGAAAATGCAAAGTCTGAAAAAAGAGAGTAGAATAAATAAATTAAGGAAAATCGTACAGCCTTAAAAATTAAAAAAATTTCAGATAAAATGGAGTTAAATTTTTTTCAACAGGAAAAGAACTACTGCAGCCACCATGCAGTTTAGATGAAGAGCTCCACAAAGAGTATGATTTCCCTTTAAGTCAAGATGATATCGAACATAGCAGCACAGCCAGCACTGGCAAGAGGAGTATCAAATTTAGCTCAGGTGAAAGGAAGCCTGACAGAGTTCATTACTTGCGAATTTTGAAGGAACAAAAGCATGAAATGCATACATTGACAAAAAGTTTTTGTCGTTTTTTTCACTTTAGGCTGATATATTTTTAAAATTTACTATAAAAAGCTTCATGTTTTACTACCTATGCAGTAGTTGTGTTTTAAGTAAAGAGACAGAAAGCTACTTAATACAGCCACAGATATTATTTAATCTTACTTTAAAAATGTTTAAGGCATTGCTTAGTCTTTCATTTGAAAGCTGCTCTAAAACCATCCAAGTAAATGGAAAAAAGGGTAGAATTCAATGTTGTATTCCATTTTGTTTAAATGGTATGCCCTGTCTCACCCCTCCGAAATGTATGATACATTCTAAGCCTGTGGTCCTGCCCTGAACCATCCTGTATCTGTCATCCCATTGGCCCAATGTGATTCCGCGCCCACTTCAATTCCCCTCTTAAGCTGTGCTAGGGGATCAGTCTGGCTCTTAGCCCTTCCTCTCTCTCAGCCTCTTCCCCTCCTCTTGCCCCTTCCCTCCCCCAGGCTCCCCCTCCTTCCTCCCTTTTCCCTCAGCAGCCATGCCGTTCCCGGGGTTGGGACCCCAAATAAACCTTCATCTGATCAGAAGCCGTGTGGAGTCTCCTTGCCTGCCTGCTGCTGCCAGCCAACTCACAGCCTAGGGGCCCTCCGGGGACATCCACAGGGTGCCCCCACCCCAAAATGAACCGCAACAATTCAATACCTAAAAATAAACTAGAATAAATTCTTCTCCTAGTAAAGATTACGGAATTTCACAGACTAAAGCAGCATGATCATGGTTATTAATGAAAGAAAAATTATTGATCTTGGATAAGCTATAGCAGTTTCCAAATAATCAGCCTTGGGAAACTACCTTGGTTTTTGTTTCTATCAGAATTTTTGACAGACAGAAAATGCACGGCAAACAAATAGGACATAATAAGAGTAGACACTGTGCCTACAAAGGAATACCAGATTATTTTACAGGAAAAAATGAAAGATTAGTAGAATAGGAGAAACAAAGGGTATGGGAGAACAGCCAGAACTATGGACAAATAACTAGAATTCCTCAGAAGCTGGAAGACTGCCACTGAGCCATACCTCAGCATGGATCTGATCCAGAATTACAGCCGGCACTCCCAGTCACCCAAGTTCAAGCTAGAGGGTTACCAAACTGCAAGGAGGCACAGAGGTGTGCCTGGCACAGAGTACTGGAGTGTCACTCACAGTGGCACAAAACCAAGACACTTGGCCCAGCAAGACAGGAGTTGCACTGCACTCTGTGGAAAACAGGAGTAATAGCATGGAATAGAAAGACGCTCCAGCAGCAGCAGTAAGGACCAAAAATCCTCAAACTATTCAAATCTTGATTTTATGAACAGACCTGTACAGACGCATTGCATACAAAAGCAGAGGATAAAGTGATCTTTAAGGCCTACTCCAAACTGACCTGGATTTATTATCACATGTCAGATGTGACCATCCTGCTGTAATCAACACTTCCAGCACTTGCACTGAACACAGGATGTAAATGCTGCGGGAAGCTCAGCACAAACTAGCAAAACCAAGACCAGAGTCCAAAACCCTCATACACTACTCTCACTTGAAGGTATGTACTCAGAAGTTATCAGTCCTGGTCCATAACTTTTGACAGCTCCTATTAGGAAGTTAACATTGATATGGACACCAAGAATATCCACTTGTCTCTACTCTAATTGATCCTGATCAAATTATTCATCCATAGTTATCTGCAACTTCATCATTCCCTGAAATCAAATTGGATTACAGGAAAATGACACATCCATAGCTGAAGACTTGAACTTGAGGAAAAAAAAGAATACTGCAGTGTATTTCTACAAGCAACTCAGCGGTGCTGCAATCATGCCTCCGTAAGGGTGGAGCAAAGGGAGCACCTTTGCTTCCTTGATGATTTCAAATGGGAATTTTATTACAAGGCCTTCTGTTCCCACAGCTGTACCCAAGACATGTGGAAGTTCACTTAAAAATGTGCAAAGAAAGACGTAAGAAACAACTTTTCTCCTCTGACACAGGAGCCTCTTGACGCAGATTCACGTTCCTGTGCGACACATGACCTTCCTGGAACTGACCCAAGACTCTGGAGAGAACTTTTGCAGGAATTAACAATCATTACAAATCTCACTATGATTCCACCTAAATACTAAGACACATCTTATTTTCTGCTCAATGTGTGTTTTCTAATACAAAATCCAAGTTGTATGGCTATTTCTAGGAAAAAATCACATATTGCTGCCTCTGTGAAAATGGAGAGAAAGGAAAAAATATAATGACAACATTGCTTGACAGAACAAACAGAGGCTTTATGGTGGTAAGGAAAACAAAAGAGAATCAAGAAATGCAAAAGATTCACCAACATCCAGAGAGAAACTTAGTCTTTACCTCAAGAACACAGAGAAGTTCTTCCACATATGCTCGTTCAGTCTCGATAAGTTCATTCATTACATGCCTGTGGACAAAGAATGACAATTAAGATGGGCCTATTCACTTATGTAAAGTAATGAGGCAACATTAATTTTATCTGTTTTTCTTCTTTACTTCAGACAATAAAATAACTCTTTCCAGGTAATGGAAAATGTGATGTTCCATGGATATTCCTGTCATTATTTTATATATCCTTATTGAGATATACGTATTTTTAAAACATTTAAAAGCTTTTGAAAATGTGTTTGGACAGGAAAACATAAAATCTAGCAGTTTCAGTGCTGTAGTAATTCACTTGAAGCAGTAGAGTGTTTTATCGTTGTATGTACGAAGTCTGGTTATACTGTGTTTGCAACTACTGCAGGAGCTGGAGTTGGAGCTGCATAGGATTATCAAATACAGACTTAAAGCTACACTGGTAATTTTAAATTAGAGATATTTAGGGCACCCTTTAATATCTTGATGATGCTTTAAATTTAATTTCCATAATGATCAAGCATTGAAACATACTTCCCCCCAAACTCCTTCCCTTGCAATTTTGTGTGATGTAACAGAAGGTTATAGCAGTAAAAAGACCATATAAGTAGCCAGTTTACAAGTAAAAATGCAAGGTCTGCTATATGCACTGCAGGTGATACCACGTCATTTCTTTAACATATTTTATGCTGTTCAGTTTTTATAATAGTGGTTTTTTGGTAACACATATCAAAACAGAGGACTAAAAAGAGTCCAATAAAAAGACAAAGTCTTGATGCATGGAGACCAAAACCTTCACTAGATTTACAGGCGGTTTTTTACTCAAAACAGTATCATCTCTGAAATGAAAATATGCAGTTGTCCAGCCATAGCATCATCTCACTGCAGCACAGGTAGACTCTGGTACTACCCAAACTGTAAATAATGCTGCAGACAGAAATGTCTTCCTCTGTGCGTAGCCTATGCATTTCAAAAGCCACTGAGGGTTATTTCAGAGAAATATACTTGTTTTATCAAATCCTTAGCAAAACCCAGGCTAAATCAGAGAAAATCCACACTTTTTGCTTATCAAAATACACTTACTGTCGTAACACAGCTAGGTTTTCTTCATCATCCATTGTAGATCCTCCTCTGCTTTGATGGAGTTCAGTCATTTCACTCTGAAGAAGGAAACAAATAAACAGTGAAAAAAAAAAATCATGGCATCACAGATGCAGAAATGCAGAACTTTAAAATACAGAGCTTTGTGCTCAGCACTTTTCACTGGAAAGACTGTACTCCACTAAAAATGAAGGCAGTTTGCAAGAATGCTGTGAAAAAAATTCAAGTCACCCTGAAGGTCTTGAAGCACCCAATATTTGGATGTGGAAAGGTCTCCATCAAAAGCCAGTTAAGAAAAGATGGTGGTTCAAAACCCTTTTCAAGAAGACATCAGAACTCCAGCATAATCTTGTAGGCAACACCAGCCTTAGTCTGTTTTCCAAGCTAAAAATAAGGTACTGTGCTAACTTTCTGGTTACTTCTTAAACCAACACAGAAATTCACTCCTAAAACATTCACTGTAATGCCTAAACCTAACTATAGCTTGCTGAAAAAAGAGAGGTGTTCTGCTTTCAAGCCCTCCTTGAACCCCTTTTCTCTTCAAATGTTGTCCGTCCTGATCATGTGGCCCAGCCTTCCTCCTGGCCTTGTCTTTTGCTGCACCTTTGCTGAGTTAATTCAACTCTCTAACCCAGTGAGAAACTCCTTGTTTCTGTTGCTGCTGTCAGATACTGCCCTTGCTGCAGGCAGGGCAGAAAGACCATCCCCACTTGGGAATGCCAATCCATTCAGGTCAGGTGAGGCTGTCTTGGAGCCAATGACAACTACTTCTTCACTGTCAATGGTTTTAAGAGTAGCCAATTACTACTGGCAAATAAAAAATGGTTCCTGTTCAGACTTAATATTTTGTTGCCCCTAACATTTTTCCTACTATTTACTTTACCCTCCCTCATAACCAGCCCAGCAACAAAGCAGCCCCTATTTAAACCACGTGACTGTTTCACCAGCGTTCCTTCAACTGGGACAATGCCATCACTTTCTTAGCAGAATTCCCTCATACTTATTGAGAGTTCCTGAATATTCTGTTGTACTATGACTTTTTCAAGTAGTGCATGTGTGAAAAATGCAAAGTGACAAAAATACCTTTCCTTTTCTGTAGTTTACCCTCCGAAGTGCGCTGCTTTCTGAGTTGGACACGTTTTCTCTTTGAAGACCTAAACATGTAAACCAGAATCAAACAGAAGTTAGAACTGGATCAAATCTGACACAGATGTTCATGCAACCACAAATTATGGCTGGAAGTTTCTTTCAGTTTCTCAGAATAGCACAAAAAACTAAAGGCTAATACAGATAACTGACCTGGAGATGTACAAGGAGATTTTACAAATGCTTCAGGTCTTGGAGCAACTGGCTGAACAGGACGTGTCTGCTTAGCTGCCAGCTTCTTAAGACTTACTTGCCGCTTTTGAAACATTTCTTCCATACCTTCTTGCTTCTGGAAAACCTTTTGCACATGATCCTACAAGTTGCCATGGAAATAAAAGCCAATTTGAATTTAAAAAAAAATTTAAATCATTTATTATAATTTTTAAATTCCTGTCAAAGACCTATCAACAAGCTACATTGACATCTATAGCATCTACAGCATACTGATTTGAAATTGCAATTACTTTTATACCACATATAGAAGTATTACACTAACTCTTCACTCGTAACAAGATGTAATCTACGTGATTTTGTACACTTAAGAATTGGAACATTACTTCAAAAATATTTTAAGTGTTTACTATTGAGAAATCTGGGATTCAAGCTCTAATTTAAAAAAAACAAATTTTTTGACTGTCTAAAGGTTCTGTTACATGAAGAGAGAGATCAACCATGAAGAAAAGGAATATATTCTCAAGATCTAAAAAAAGAAAAAAGAAATAAGCACATTTTTGCTATATAAGAAAGGTATTTCAAATACTCATTTGGGAGAATTTTTTTTAAAGCAATTTTACTATCTGAAAAATTAAAGTAGTTATGAAAAGTCTCTGAAGCCCTTGGTTCTTATCCAAAGATATTATGAGACTCAGGCACAGAAATGTATTGGCTTTCCAGTTCACAGGTATAACTCCTAGTACTGATTATTTAGCTTTGTCAATGGCAGTACAAGAGAGCAATTCTAGAATGAACACATGGACACACAGACACACATAAACATCTTCTAGTACCTTTAGGTCTTCATTGAGGATGTGTGCATACTCTTCGTAAATTTTATTCAACTCCTTGATTTTATTGCCAGCACCAGTATCCAGGAACTTCTCAATCTCCTGTAACGCTGATTCTGCACCATCCTGAGACTGACATTTATCTACTGGCTGGGAAGCCAGCAGGTAAATTCCTTCGTCACACCACTTCATAGACTAGAAACAGAGGAGAACAGGCTCACAATGCACCAGTGTCAGCATCACACAGTATGAGTCTAAACCACCTCAACCTCGTCATGTATTCAGCTGTTTAACGAGAAAACTTCCAGCACACTGAGATAATGTTACCTACCATGATGACAATTGTTCGACTGAGGTTTTGGGAAACAACTGCTGCATATTAAATTTACCTTCTCTAGTAAATCATGCAGTTCCAGAGATTTGTTAAGAAGTTTTCTCCTCCGTTCTGTCTCAGTAGTGAAGGCATCACAGAGATGATGAAGTTCACTGCATTTTGGAATAATGGAGTCCACAGCATAATGATTGCTTTGAATAAAAGCATCACGCTCTGAGGCTAACATTTTGGCTTTTCTTACAGTTTCCTAACAAAATAAGCACAGATTAAAGGACATCTTTCCTTGGATCAAGATCAATGAAACAATTTTTACACAGTGAAATACAATATTGATAAAGAATACATCTTTAGTTAATATCTGCCTTGCTTAATAAATCAAAGTGGTTTCCTGTCTTTCCAGATGCCCAAGAACTTTCATGTACCAGAGTACCTCAGAAACAACAGTGAGTTTAATCACAGGCCTCCTTGTGAAGGAACCACTGTTGTATTTCTATGCCTTATTCAGTAGGGTCTGTGTGTGTATGAATGCAACTTGGGGTACATCAACAATCTGAACTCAAATTAAAAAAAAAAAAACAAACCTATCTCAGCCTTAAGAGCAACAACCTCACTTAGAGAGCAATTTGTTTCATTGTGAAGCACAGATCAGAAAAAGGTTCCCTTTATGTATGGTTCAGTGTATGTTTCTGTTGGCCATCTTTATTGTACATTCAATACACAGCTTTCTTATCTCTGATTTATTGAAAGACATGGCTTTAATAGGAATGGAAGTGGTCCCTTGATCAGTAAATGCAAAACTTGTAGACACTTCATGCAGTTCTTACATGAAGCAATCACACTTTGTGTCTGGTCACTCTGCTCTTTATTGAGGGACATCCAAGAATTACTCTGCTCCAATGGTTAAAGACTTTATTTCTGATTCCTTCTGTACATTACCTGAGACACTGATTCTGCCTTGTTGTCAGCTTAAGCTGACACACTCAATAACCAAATCCCACTCCCCTCTGCACCTACATTGTCATAGTAGAAACTAAGGAGACTTGCAGACTTACATCTGATTTTTCTTTAAAGTTGGCAAGATCTTTCAAAATATGCTCCACGTGTGAACGGCTGTTTCCCACATCTGTGAAAGCAGACAGTCTCTCAGACACAATATCCAAAGCTGCTTTGACCTGAAATGAGACACAGCTATGAATGAGTGAAGAGACCTCCACCTCTCCAGAGAGCCACCAGTTACATAGGTGAGAGCCACTATTTGCAGTCAGGTGACTCACATTAGGTGGTTACTGGGACACAGAGACAAAGCACCTTTATTTGTCAGCCTACCTTCCCCCCCAGTTAAAAAGGAAAACAAATACAAGGAAAAGGCAGTGAAGTAATCCTGTTTCCTGGTACTGAAAAAGATGCAAGCAAACTAATGTAAAGGAAACATTTATGATCTTGCTTTTACCAGATGACAAGGACACAAAGTGACATTAATTTTAACAGCAGAACATGAGGAAGAGGTCCCCACTCCAGTAATTGTTTTAGAGACAAACAAATGCTTGCAAGAGCGTTTCTGAGTGTTGCTCTCCTCGAGACACAGGGGCTGTGCTCTGAGAGCAGCTACACCAGGATAAAGGGTCTGTAGGTGCCATCAAGCACATGAATTAAACAATATGAGATCAGAAACTGGCTGTGAAAATTGTAGTGCAGCCTCCACCCAGCTTCTAACACTATAGTTGCAACTTCCCACCCACAGTGTTGGATACAGTTTTCATAACATTTCAGCCAAAATGTTTAGTTGAGACTTGGTTCCATAAAAGGACCTATTGGCAAGATTAAAGTGTTGCAGCAGCATTTTATGTTTCTGTGGTACAGAACAGGTTTCAAAGGAGTTTTTGAATGCTTATACACTGCTGGGAGCATGGAAAAGAACTTCCTAAGGCTGTAGAAAAAAAAAAAAAAAAGTTATGTCTCTATAGGAAAGAATCCAAACTGGTAAAGATAGCAGTGTGTCAAGTGAGGGCAAGTACAAGAAAAAGGTTGGAGAAAGCTTGCAAGTACATACAAGACCTGTAAAATCAAGAGCAGGAAGCATTTTCTGAATAATCTATATTACCAAATATTGACTGCCACCAAGAAGTTCTCACCTCTCTGAAATTCTGTTCGAAATTCCGGAGGCGCAGACACTGCTCTAGTTTTTGCTGATGCTTCACCCAAAACTCATCAAAGGCGGTCTCTGTTTCATGTAATTGAGCCAGTAGCCTTTAAAAATCAAAACAAAACACGTTAAAAAAATACTCTAAGAATGATGGGTACAGCCTTCAAGGGACAATGCAAACATCCACAGTAAATAAAAAAAAACCTCTCCAAAGCAGTATGTTTCAGGACAAATAAACTGTATACAGGAAACATTTTTTGTATCGCACAGTATCATTTCCTACAATAACACTGATGTAAAAAACCGAAACTCAACACAAACATTAATTTCTGAAAAATGGGCAAGTGCTTATTTTAAGCATGTTCTCAGCTTTGGCCTGGGGACATGGGGCTAACATAGATAAATAAGATATGTAAATGTGTGTGGGTTAGGACTCAGAGGAACCCAAGGCTTTGGCTAACAGGAAAAGTTAAGGTAAAAAATTGGAACTACTATGACCAGCCAGCTGCCCTTACATTTCATTCTTTGGAGCAAAGCTCACTATAAACCTGAAGGACATTTCTTCTTCTCTTCCAAGCAGAGTTAGTAATTAAATATCACAGGCAAGTGCGCAGCTGTAGTGGGATGAGGAAAACCTTCTTTCTTTATAATTCTGGCAGATGACTTAAAACTTTCACTTCTTAACTTACCTTCTATAATTGCATTTGACAGTATGATATCCCATGGACTTTATACAGTGCACTTTGCTGAACTTAGGCTACATCCAGGGAAGGCAACCCATCAGAATTTTAATGAACTTTTGTCTTTAACACTACAGAAATGAAGTCTGAATTTACAAGTTAAAACCAACAAGAGAAAAGGCAGTGACACATGCACACACAGAGTTGCTCCAACTTCCGTCAGACATTGTATTGAATAGGAATGTTATGGATAAATTAGCAACCCCCACCCTGATCGTCCTTGGACAGCTGATAGCAACAGTGACCAAAAAAAGTGACTTCTGCCAAGCTTTGTGGATTGGAATGGACAGTTATTTGGAAAGATAGTCGGCCTGAGTGTAACAGAAACACAGAATGACAGACAAAAAAAGAATGCAGAATACTGCCTGGGGGAAATGAGCTATGCTTTCATAGCTTTGTGAAAATTTACATCTGTGCTACGGTGATATAATGTCTTCAAACCTGGCAGTAATGCGAGGGGGGTGTGTATGTGGTAGGCAAGGAGCAAAGGAAAACAATACCTATTACTTATTTGTCCAGAGGAAGCACAGAGGAAATTGGTGCATAGATACTTCAAGAGTGTTGTACTCCCTAGCAGCCTTTAAAAGCTACTAGCAACAGTGAAAAGTTAACAGGTTATAAAGAAAAAAACCCTCCCACTTCAAAGGGACCTGAGGGAAATGGACACATCTACTGAAAAGAAGAGATAGATCACTTCAGTCTTCCCCTCATGCTGTCCATACAGCAGCAAAATTACTTGGATTGCACTTCAGTTTCTAAACAAAGCATTGGTATTCTTGAAAATAAGGAAAAGATACTCAAGTATAGAGTCCAAATGTGACAAAAATGAAAAGAAGAACAGTGTTGTGTGGTATCAGAATTCCAACCCCATTTCCCTATAGCCACCTTACCCCACAGTGGGCATTAGAGGGTTACTTTGTTCAGGACAGATCTGACAACATAAGAGTTGTTTCTGAAATGATTTAAAATGTTCACATTGAAACATTTGCTTATTTGCAAAGCATAAATATGGAATTAAATAAAGAAGCTGGGGGGGTGGGGGATCAAAAAAGCAGAAAAGCAGCATATTTAGTATTTCACACCTCTCACCTTTCTACTGTTGTTTGATTGTCTAGCTGATCTTGATTCAGTTTGTAATCAGGATTCTCAGTAACTGGTTTTGTAATACTTCCAAGGATATCATCTCCCTGTTCTACTGCTACCCTGATATCCTCCTACAAAACAAAACAAAAACCCCACATGCTGTAGTGGCATGTTGTTTTTAAAGCAGACTTCACAAGGCACTGAATCGAAAGCAGGATTTCAATAGCACTCGAGCAAGCACAGTTTTATTAAAGGCAGTGGCTGACAACAGACAGTAAATGATAAATGTCAGCTTCTTCCATGTTTGCCATCTCAAGACCCCAGTGTAACTGAGTTAAATTTTCACGGTAGACAGCCTTCTAGTGTAGCTTTAGGCTACAAATATCTCAAAAATCTTAGACGCACAGTTCTGAAACTGCCAAATAGCTTTCATTTAATCCTTTTTGAAAGAACATTTGTTCATGCTTCAAAAGGCCATATATTTTAATATGCATGCAAATACAATAAAATTTCCTGTTGCAAACAAAACTACAAATTAAACACACCACTACTTACAAAGAAATTACTGTTTCACATACAACCCATTATGCATTTGTACATACGTAAACTTAGTTTCAAGAAATGTCATTTTTCAATGCAAAAAGGATTTTTAACATCAGAAAAAGCAAGTTCAAAAAGATATCGATGGTTCCCATTATTACTATTAGCATCGTCCATATTTTCCATCAATATTGCTAGCTATAAATTAAAAGACAGTTTAAATAGAAGACAGCATCTCTACAAAAATTACATACCTTCATTTTGTCCTTCTTTTCTGTGTGTGTTGCAAGAAGGGAGCTGGTTGATTGCACATCATTTGGTAGTTCTGTTTCAGCCAGCTCAGTCCCAAAGGACTGAAGAATCTGAGCTGTTTGCTTAACCTTTTGGGCGAAACCTTCTATAGCCTTTTGGAACAAAAAGCATTAAAGATGTTTTGTGTTCATCAGACACATATGTACAAACAAACACAAGCACACAAAATATAACTCTCAAAACAAGCCCAAACAGATGAATTACAAGACTGAAAAATGGCCAAAGTAGAATTTTGCAAGCAACAGATACCGTCACCATTAATTCCTTAATTGTATATTTTTCTTAGGCTTGTATCAGGTGTATCTTCTTCATATTTTTATAATCTGGAGTTATTTTACAGTTTGAGCTTTTCCTTTCTTGTAGCAAAACCAATAAACCTCAACACAATAACACACTGTAGTTCCTTCGCTCCAAGTGTTCAGAAAACCACTCCCAAGTTATTACTCATATTATTTCTCTAAGATGACTAAGTACCATTGGGAACATCTTCTCACACTGAGCAAGTCAACTTGCATCACTTGGAATCTGTTTTATAAATGACAGGGTATAAAACAGAAGAGCTCATTAAGCTGAAAAGTTAAAACAAAACCTAAGGCTTACAGTGCGACGGGACAGCCATCTGTTGTGGCAGTAATCCAGGGTGCCACCAAGATCTTCTGTTAATTGTGTCTTATCAATGTAACCCTGCAGTTCTGACACTGAGCCCAGCATTATGATCTGCAGCAGGACAGAAAGAAAGTGAACGTGATCAACGGTGACAAGGATTCTAAGCCCCATCCTTCAGACACCAAGGGAGAAGATGCACTTTTTAATATAAAAGTGAGAGATGGAACTGTTTCCTGTGCGTACAGAAACACAAACTTAACAGTTCTTTCCGTTGAAGATGATGTACATGTAAATGACTGAATATGGGCATGGGCACCAGGCATATTTAAAAAAAAAAAAGTTTATGGATTATACAGCATAACACTGCCAGATTTTTTTTATCTTGATAAACCACACTTGGCTATTTTCTAAAAGCAGCATTCATCTCTGGTTCATTTTTCCTTGTTATTCTGAATCTGCAGGACAGAACAATAGCATCTACATGGATTTGTCATGTAAGAACTGGTTCCCCAAAATAAATGAAAGATTGGGGGAAATGTTCTTAAAGACCATCTCTCCCCCTTGCAATTTACATCTGCTAAGTACAGTAACTTTTATTTAATCAGCTCATATAGTTTCAAATTTTATTTTAAAATATAAATGCTGTAGACTTACAAACAAAAGTAAAATCTGTGGGTTTACTGCAGATTTAACAACAGGCATCCATTGTACATCTGCTCAAGAGACAGAAACCACAGCATTTGTCCATGGGAAATGCATCTGCTTCAAAATTCAAATACTCTTCCAAGAAAAAGCCATCATGAACTAGCTAAAATTGCTACAACTGCCTCTATGCATGGCTTTTTGTTGGGGTTTCTTTGGTCCTCATTGGCTGCCTTAAGTACTTTTACAGATTCCTGATAGTAAAGTTAAAACAGAGGATTACTTACAGGTACTTTCATTTTAAGCTCATCTTTGTTGAATCTGAAAGCAATGTCCGAGAGAGCTCGATGAAAAAATCCTGTTGGGCGCAGAACAAGGACTAATTGCAGGTTTCCTGGGAAAGATGCCTGCAAAGCAAGTTTAGCCTGTTATGTTCTGTGTCTCAGCTCCAGAAAATATTTTTGAACAAGGAGAAGCCCCTGATAAACCACAAACTGTATCAAAGGCCTCCCATAATGGGGTGACCAATCATATTGTTGCATGGCTAGTACAAAGAACTTCATTCAAAAGACATTTACTTGTCTTTGGGAACAGGGATCTATTCTCTTGGAATCAGTTTTTTTTCAGGGCTGGCTTGTACTGCTCTTCAGCTAAGATTACAACCTACCCAAGGAGGCTAATGAACAAACAGCAGTGGCTCAGTTTTTTTTTAACAGCAAGACTGTCATGGTTACTTCATCTTCACTTTAATAGAAGGTGCCAAAGAAACCTCCACCATTGTGTGAAAACCTAACAACAAATTTCTAATTTGTGCATATACTACCTTGCCAGTTGCCTACACAAGTTTTTGCCACAGAGGAAGAACTTCTCATGGAGTAACTTAGAAATAAGCTTTAATTTGGCTGACAAAAATAAAAATCAGGCATAAAAATTCTCAGTTCAGTTTTTCCTCATCAACTTCCAACTAGCAATCTGGTGGATCTTTCTACAACAGGTAGAGGGAAGACAGAAGAGGGAAGAAACAAAAAAAAAAAAATAGCATTAAATTATTGAAAATCAACCTCTGCTGTGGCAGAGATTTGCATATTTGGCATTTAGCCACTCTTGGAAACATTCTCCTCTATTCAGTATTTCCACTGTAGGGAGGCAGTGAAATTCACTAAAGAAATGATCATTATAATGATTAAGTATGCAATTTTCTTCATTATACTGTTGGAAGTTATTTCACTTTTCTAGCAAACTGGTTTACCAGAGGGAAGAAAAAAAGCCAACCAAAAAAGCCCCACTGACTGAAGGAGCTGTTATGCTATGCTTTGTTCCAAGCCCACTGGAACTGTTAGTAACTGGAAGGTTGAAGAGTGATTTAATAATAATTTTGAGGTTTCCAAGGGTTCCAGGTACTTAGCATTAGAAATGAAGAACTTTTAAAGGGAAAAGTAGTTTAACACTTTTCTGGAAAGCTTCAAGATCCATTGTGGTTCCCCAGATATTCAGTATACGACCACAATTTCATTTGACTAAGGAACTTTAAAGGCTTGAACTTCTTAATCTGCCTCGATTTCAGTGATGTCCACATTTTCCAGAAAGTACAGTGGTTCTGTTCCAAAGGAGTCTGATGGCTGGGAACAGAAACCAGGTAATTCTGAGTGCCCTCACTAGCTACTCAGCCTTGCACTATAAAATTCACAAAAAAAAGTGCAGACTGTGAAGTGACTAACCCATACTTATCAGAGGAAAAAACTTTTCATAGAAAATTTCTGGCTGTATTCAGAATAAAAAGAAAATATTATGCTTTTCTCACTTTTTTTTTTTTTTTTTTAATCACCACACAAAGCAAACCCACAAATTTATTTGAGAGACTTTAAAACAACAGACAAAAAATTTCTTTAAATAAATCTCATGGATAAATCTCAGAAGGACAGCTGTATTTATTTCTCTTATTCAACAGATATGTCAATCTATTTTGTGCCTGTAACAGCAGTGTTTAGTCCAACTGAGCAGTTATTTTTTACCTTTAACTTCCAAAATGCCAAGTTTATTCAGTGGCAATGCAAATATTTCAGAATAAAAATTATAGAAGACATATTTTTTAGGTAACATATTTTGAAAAAAAATAAGGTGCCTCCTTGTGAGACATCCACCCCACCACATCATGTCCTGACCCACTGTCTATGGCAGCAAATGTCTGCAACCCATTTAGCCTTACCTGGAGCACTGGGAAATGCCCTGGACAGGGTGCTAGATAATCTCATTGAGGCTCCCTTTCCCCACAAAACATGGTGTTTCAAGGTACCTCCCAACCCAATCTGTGATTTTATGACATTTAGGTTATTACTGAAGCAGACAGCAGTACCCAAATGCAATCTAATAGTAAATTTTTCCGGACTGTGTATTAGTACTTATGAGAGAGAGTTTAATTGCATGATGCAATTAAGTATTGTGTTCAATTCAATGAAAACAGAGAATATGCAATACAATTATTTTCTGTCTCAATGCGTCAATCCAAAATGATGCTGTTGAAGTCAATACAGTCTTGGTATCACTTGAATTCCCATTCAAAACCTATCAGAAATTTCTCTTCTCTGAACAAAAGCTCAAATTCTACATTACTTTGACTTTGTCTACAGCATAAACTTGTCTCCACTAGTCTGTCTCCATTTGGTTTTGTTTTTTTCTTCAAAAAAACTCCTTGTTTTAAAAAATGATGTCTCTTTCCCTTGTTGTGTCTGAGTCAAGTCTACAAATTAATTTTTGTGAAACAAGAAAGGTACGTTGTGCTACAGTAAACAATGTTGGACTTATGCCAGCTATTACAGTTTATCAGAGGTTGTATCTGCACTGCCAAAACACTGCTACTTTTCCTAACATTTTTTTGCTAAAGCCCTGGTGACTTGCAGAGACAATACTATGATGTAAGAGATACTCCACAGATGCCTGTGAACTTCATTGACCAGTCAACTTCACCCTGAACACTGGAACAAAACAAAAATCCTTTGTTCCAGTCCAGCAGCATATTTGTTTGAAGCCATTGTATGCTAACCAGACAACAAACAATGACTTCTCAATAATGCTTTGCTAAATATTAAGTACCAAAAAATATTAATGCTATGTTTAACAGTGCTATCAAATAAAGTGCCTTCAAGGACTGTTTCACTGAGGTCAATGGACCTTACTCAGATTTGTTGAAGGGTTTGTATGTTCAAAAACTGGATTGTTTTTTTCCCCAAAGTGTCCTTCTTTACTGGATTAATTAATATTAACAATACCCCAAACATCCTGTCTCAAATATTGAATTTATCTTATTTAATGCCAATGCAAAAGAGACTAGGGGCCATGTTTTTCATATTCTCTACAAAAATTAGGAGAGCTCAGCCCACATATTCATTCATCTCACTTGCACTTGTTTGATATTTCATGACAGTCACCGTTTTCTATCTGCTCATCTCCTTCACTTGCTCATCCAGTCAGGTCAGTGCCAATTTCAAAGAGAAAAAATGAGGAGGCCTTGCAGGCCCTGTGCCTGCTACAGATGTGCACATTGTTATCAGCTTAAAATTAAATCTGACCAAACCATGAATTTGTATACAGCACAGCCCCAGGATCAAAGTGTTCCAATACACCAAGATCTTTGTTGCCCTACAAGTATCCTGAACCTAGAATATGGGTGAGAACCTTTTCTGGCTGGACTAAATGGGCAACAATCTTAAATTCTCCAGAAAACCCATTAATAATTTCACAGGAGCAAGTTAACTGCTTTGAGGCTTCTGCTTCTCAGGGATGGGGAGCCTTTCACTGCACGCCCCAGGTTTCTGGAAAGGGGAAAATGTATAGGCTGAACTCAGTTGAGTTCTGGGCAAAATGCAAAGTCAGATTACCATAGAATCACAGAATGGATTGGATTGTAAAGGATCTATAAGATCACCTATTTCTAGCCCCCCACCAGGGCAGAAACACCTTCCATTAGACCAGGTTCTCAGGTCCTCATCCAGCCTCACCTTGAACACTTCCAGGGCTGAGGCATCCACAACTTCCTGGACCACCTGTTCCAGTGCCCCACTACCCTTACAGTAAAGAATTTCTTCCTAACATGTAATGTAAGTCTCTCCTCACTCAGTTTAAAACAACTTCTCCTTGTCCTACCACTATCTGCCTGTGTAAAGTCACTCTCCCTCTTTATATATAAGCCCCCTTTAAATACCAAAAGGCTGCAGTGAGGTCAGGCCCAGAGCCTTCTCTTCTGAACAACCTCAGTTCTCTCAGCCTGTTCTCATAGGAGAGATGCTCCAGACCTCTGATCACCTTTGTGGCCTCCTCTGGAGCACATGTTAGTTGCATATAATCCTAGCTATCACTTTTCTTCACAGAAATTACTGGCAGAGAGGCTGTGTGTACCACCAGAACTGACCCTGAAGTTAAGCCAGCTTGCAGAAATACCGTGCATAATATGTGAGCCATCAAAGAGCTAATGCTTGACTTGGTTTTAGTAGTTCTGTCTCAAAATATTTGGAACAACACTAATTTTCATTTTATGAACAGCTTCAAAATACCCACATTACCAAACTCTGTGGTAATGTGTTTTCCTTTCTGCACTTACTAATACGCCATAAGCCACAGAGCACTTCTTTCCAAAATACTTCTGTATATAAAGGACCTAGTAAGTACTTGCTTACCTATTTAAGACTGTTTATTCCTGGCTAGAATGAACAAGCCTTACACATAATTCTTGTCATGAAAGAATCTTGAATGAAATCAGCTAATAAAAAGAGCAGCTTGAAATCTAGTTTTAAAAACATAGAACTGTATTGCATTAGATCTATGTTTAATGCTTGTGACATTACGATCCTGCTTTCTGAGTTTAAGTGACTCACTTCTGTTTTCAGATATTCAACAAATACATAAAATAAAGAAAAATGGCTAAGTACACAAGGATAACTGCAAAAGTGCCTGCATGTGAAGTAGTTTCAAAACATCCAAAGCAATCAGACAAAACCATACTGGTCTCAAAATAAACTTACTCATTTATCATTTACTGTACTCATTTGTAACAATAGCCACAAAATTAATATAAATACTGTTGCAGCTTCATCATACTGCCAAGTTCTAGTCTTAAATCCAAGCAAAATGAGAATCATATCTGGGACTGAAAGAAGAGCAGTGTTTTCAAACTTAAGCCATACAAAGTGTGAAGTGTCACTATACTTTTCAGGACATGATGCAAAGAGCTAACTAGAAACTTGGCTAATGGGAAATATCTATCCCATATAAATATAAAACAGTGCCTTTCATGGGGCACCACTTAAAAACCATCTTTTCTACATCAAGAACTGACGAAGAAACTCAACATCTCTACAAACAAGGCCAAAGAACTCAAAGCTGTATTATTGCAATTCAGTGTTTCTCACCTTGGCTACCAAACCAGTAAGATTCCAGATGGCACAAAAATGGGACTGTCTGACTCCTGCAAGGTTTAGGCTGGTATTACAAAATCAAATAATCAATTAGGTTGGAAAAGACCTCCACAATCACTGAGTCCAACCTAAGCATTCTGGTTTGCTGTGTCCATTGACTTCAGGTTTCTTCTTGCCAGCCAGCAGTCTTGGCCCTGATCTTCAAGGAAGTTAATGGCCTAAGCCACTGTTACAGTGAAGACTGCATTTTCAAGAAGCTAAGAAAAGCAGTGCTCTGGACAAAACAGAAGGCATGAAATCTGCATGAAGTGTGTCTTTAGCTAGCGGTGGCAAATCACAAAGCATTCTTCTCCAGGAGTCAGAATAAAACCCATTTCTTGTCACATTTAAAAAGGGCTGCAAATTTTGTAACTGGATAAAAATTCCTCACCAACAAAACAATCAACCTCCACGCTAACAGCTTAAAGAGCACTCAAGAGCAGTGGCCCACAGATATGTTATCCCCTAATGCACCAAGGAAGTTTATTTTCCCTGGACCTTCAGTATGAGGTTGATGAATGGCCATGGTAAAATTTTTAATGGTGTTGAGTGCAGTTTTTTGTTTGTGAGTGAGTTCACACTGTAACCTTTCCCTCTAGATGGAGGAAGACGATGACAGGACAACAAGAAACTAATACAATGTAATGACACAGACTTAATTTTTAAAAGAAAATGTACTAGAACTGTCAAGAGAGCAGTGTGAAATCCTAGAATGCATTGATCAGTAAAAAGCCTTGCTCCTACAACTGTGGATTGAATCTTGCTTATTTAAGTATGGTAACATTAGCAGAGAAAAGAAAAAAAAAAAAAAAGAGGAAGAAAAAGAGTCATTTTTGACTGCATGGAAAGGACAAGTGGATCAATTTGTCCGGCACTTGTTATTCAACTTCAGCTGGGACAATACAGATCTGCTTTACCAGTCACCATGACTGCTCCTCCTTGCACACTTATCCATGAGACTATGTAGTTGCCCAGCCCCAGGAGCTAAAAGATTCAGTAAGGTCTTGCATGTCTCTTTATACTCTGAACACTGTGTTTAACTGAAAACAGGACATTCTAATACACATTTAGAAGAATCACTGCAAGTGACAGGGCAAAAAGTTGAAGAAATGTATCTTCAAACAACAATGTAATACAAGTGAACAATTTGCAACTACTAACTTCAGTATTTTTCTTGTAAGAAAAATTTCTACTGTCTCTCTAACAACATGACAATTTGCTATCAAGACTTCACACTTAACATTAAACTTGGCTCTTGGAACCTCTACCAGAATTTCACCTCTTAGCCTGACTATCCCAGTAGACCAGATTCTTCCTAGGCTAATAACTTCACTTCAGCTAAATCAGGTGAAAAATAAAAAGAATAATGTTGTTTGCAGTGTCTCTTAATGTGGATGGATGGAATATAGGAGAACAGAGATAGTGATGAAGGTAATCTCACTCCTAAGGGGTTACAGCTGTGTTAATTACCAGGAATTAGGAACAGGCCTGCCCTTAATAGGCCACAGCTAGGTCCAATCAGGATGCTATTGTAAAAGAGTAGGTTGGCTGGTGGAGAAGTCAGTTTGTTGGCTGTGCTGTGAGGAAGAAGGAGTCAGTGCTGTGAGGAGCTGCCCATGAGAAATCACCAAGAAGGTATAGAGCTTTTGCAATAAGATAGCAACATCTTAAGCCACAGAGTCTGCAAGTCTTGTGCTTGCTAACAACAACATCCTGGGCTGCCTGCCCATTGCAACTTCATCAAGTAGAATAAAACAATTGCAAAGTCTGCATGCCTGGGCATGCTCTTGCCATAATATCCGTCACATCCCATGAAAAGAACTGCTATATTTCAGCCCAGGCCTCTGGCTTTGCTCTCAGTCCCACTGCACTGCATCTCCTGCACAGCAGTCACCCTGGGCAAGCAGCACAGTCACTAGCCTTCCACTGTGTCTGCAAAAATAGGTTAACCTCATCTCCAGAGTCTTGACTAAACAACCTTTAAGTATCAGCATGTAATACAGATTCAGCTCATCATTGCTCATGTTCTGCCCCAGCAAAAATAAAGTACCCCTAACAACAAAAAAGGAAAAATGAAGGTTAGAAATTTTTAATAATACATTTTCCACAATAATTTCAGCCTGAAAAAAACCATTCTGTTAGTTTTGTTTCAAAACATACTTCCAATACCCACTAGAGCAAATCAAATGTATATGAAGAGTCTTGAAAATAACAAGAAATAATAATAACAAATCCACGCTAATACGAATTTCTGTTCAACAGCAGCTCAGTGCTTACAAATACAGGTCCTACAGTTGTCAGGGTATTAGTGATGGGCAGATGCTCCAGCCAGGATATTCCTGTCAGGCAGTGCTCCAGCCACAGCACCCTATGCTGGCATTTCTGAGTTCACAAATCAAAAGGGTCAACTCCCTCAGGATGACTAGAGAAAAAAACAGGTAAGATGGCAGAAATGACAACAAATAAACCAACAGCCAAAACTCTCATCTCAAATAACGTGAGACTCCTGTCTTCACACAGAGCAATAAGCTTCAGCAAGAAAGAAAAAAAAAAAAAAAAAAAAGAAAAAAAAAGGGGGAAATTACTTCAAATTGAAAGGATGTAGGTTTAGATGGGACAGTAGGAAGAAATTATTTACTGTGGGGGTGGCAAGGCACTAGAATAGGTTACTCAGAGAAGCTGGGAATTTCCTATCCCTGGAAGTGTTCAAGGCCAGGCTTGGACAGGGCTTTAAGACACCTTACCTAGTGAAAGGTGTCCCTGCCCATGGCAGGGGCTGGAACTACATATCTTTAAGGTCCCTTCCAATCTAAACCATTCTGTGACTGAAACTGCCAGAGCTATCAGGCTTTCGCACATCAAGTACAGTCTGGATAGCCCAAATAACACTCAGATGCTTCACAACCACCAAAAGACAATTCTGACTGTTAGAAAAACCAAACAAGTGGAAGTCTCCAGTTATCCCTGAGCCATTAAAAAAAAAACCTGTCTATCAATAGGACCTCTCTAAATTGGCACAATATACATATATTTCATATTTGGCTTTGTTTTTTCTGTTAAACAACAGACAGCTGAAATGCATTAGATTTCATTTATCTCAAATACTATAGCAAAGATATGATGGACAAGAGCAAACAATTCTTCACTACATCTTCTTTTGGAATAGGAACACAAAATTTTCAAGTGTTCAGGGCTGATGTGACTCTTGCTGAAGCCCAACAGGAGGACTGCTATAAATATATATACATGGGTACAATCATAGCCAACACTGTTGCTGTTCAACAGAGAAGCAAATATAAAAAAATCCTGCCTTTAACAAATTAGACTTTGGCTAAGAAGCATGATTCTTCTGTCAGAAAAAGCGCAGAGAAGAATGAGAAAAACTGAAAAAAGCAAAATAACCCATCAGCAGCGGTACTGCAAATTTGCAGTACTGCACTTAACACCCTTCTCTGGGCAAATCCCTTAGGCACCAACACCATCACGACAGTGACAGATCCCTTAAAATGGGGAATAGTTTCTCAGTTCTGTTCACTGCGCTTCAAAGCAAAGTAACCCACACTGGAGGAATGTTACCATAAATGTTATCACCATGGCTATGAGCAACTTGTCTGTAGTTGCTCCCTAACCCTTACAACCCCAATTATGCAAATAAAAGGACCATAATCTGTGCAACACTTATCTGTCCTTGAACAGAAACTACAGCACTGACTTTTGAGAGATTCCAAACCTCCAGATAGAGTCCTTTTTCTTTAACCATCCTAAATTGTATTGCTCTCAGTTTTCATTACTGGAATCTGCTCAGTGCTGCATCTCAAAATTTCAAGATGGGCTGCAAAAGCAAATTTTGCTGATATTTCAATGTATTTTATGTTTTAACATTTCTACCATGATTATTGTGTAAAGAGTTGTATTGTGGGAGTATTATATCATTATATATTCATTCAAAAAACATCATATAGTGGGAGTAATATACTGCCTTTAAAGATGTATTACTTTAAAGTAATGTACTACTGCTAACTTATAATAAATAAAAAATTCTTTGGCCATAATCAGGCCACCTTAAAATGACATTTACTGTTTTGTTTTGACTTTTTTCTTACAGAGTCAAAATTTTTCAGCCATTAAAAATTAAAAGATACTTAGAGTTTGTTTTTCAGCCCTTACTGGAAAGACTATTGACTCTAACAATTCAAGCAAGGATAACAAGGAAGAAAAAAAAGGCAATCAATGAACCAAAAATTTTAAAAACCAAGTAAACCAGCAGTAGAATAAGCACATGATAAACATGAATCTGTCCTTCCCTACTTTTGAAAAAAGAAAAGGAAAAAAAAAGCCTCTAATAAGCTTCTTTTTCTGATTTAAAAAATATTACTTGAAAGGGAGACTGGGAAAGTTAAGAGCATGTACTGTTGATTAATCACAGAAGGCACATAAGATTTTCTTGCTTACATGTAATCCTTGTTTTAAATCAAACATCACAAGAGCAGTTTATTCCATGTGAACTCCTTTCACAAGTGGTAAACTCAATCAGGACCCTCACCCTTATTCCTTTGTAAAAGGGAAGCTCACTTGAATAGTGAAAAGTGGACTCAAACTCTATGGAACCCACAGGGAGTCCGTGCAAATATTAGCTCCCACCCAGGAGAGCTGCATGCTCACACATTCACTTTCTCCAAGTGCACACTTAGGAAGATGTCCTGAGCTGCAGACTGCATTAAAAGCATATCACAGACACATGATGCTCTGTCTGGGATGCTGCTGAATACCTTCTGTATCATCTATTAGCTGACATATTGTTGGAGAGAAGAAAAATTATGTTTTTCCACTTGTAAGAGGAAGATTCAACACAGAAAAATCTTTCTAAGGAGTAATTGAAGAGAGTACTCACTGCTATCCGCAGGATGGAAGCTTTCACGGAGGTCCATTTGTCCTGTCTGCGATCTATGACAAGAATAAATCCAATTCCAGCATCTCGTAAACTAAGTTTGGAGGAGGAAAGAAGAAAACAGGAAAGTTTAGTTAAAAATACAAATGTAACTCCTGGTTCCCTCAGACAGAAATGCAGTCAAAAACAGTGAAGAAAAAAAAAAAAGTCCTTTTTGTGCAGAATTTTCTTCATATAAATATCTTAAATAAAGATACACTATACACCATTGCAAAGATGCAGCAGGCCCACAGTGTTTCACAGAGTTTCAAAATGTATTCAAATAATGAATTCTTCTTTTTCACAAAAGATAGTATTTACATTTCTTGCACAGGGATTATTTCAGAAGAAAATGAGACTGATTGATTCTCCACTGTTCGGTGCTGATATGATCCCTTCCTCATGATGATGTCAGTATAATTTCAGGATCAAAATAAAGCTGTTTTCCTTTTGCATCTGCTTTTAACCTTCTGTTTGAATAGTCTTCCTCCTCACTGATACTTAAAACTCCTTAAAACCACAGATCCTTCTGATCATTCCATGACACTTCTCCACGCATCTGAAATTCTCATATGCCTCCAGGCTGTAAACTTCTTCCTAGGTGCATTTTCACATTCACTGAAACAAAAAACCTTACAGCATTTAAACTCTTCAGACCACAGATGAGAACAACGAGCTCAGAGGCACCTCTCTGGAATGGAAACATCTGTGAGAGAGATTCTGCTCAAATCCTGCCGTACGGGTGACCTTTCTCTTTTGCCTGTGCTCAGCTGCATGTGCTACCGAGCCCTGACCAAGGGATGTGCTCCTGTTTTGTAATTCCCCATCTAAGCCAATTGTGCAATGCCAGCAGCAGCCCTTGCCAGCCAATCGCAATCAAAATGGAAACAGCAGGCAAATGCAAGGCAGACAGGCTCAGATTTATTGTTTTCTCATACATTTGCTCCTTTTTCAGTATATGCTGTATTTTTACACCTGGTGATTTATTGCAAGGCCTGCCGTGGCACTGTGTGACCTTTAGAAATACTGTGCATCAATTAGATATGGTAATATCTTAAAAGAAAAAATAAAAATCAACACAATAGAATGTCAGGATTCTTTATTCAAGATTGCTGAATCATGGAAATACCAGCTTTTCTTTATAAGATTATGTCAGTAGCATAACGATAAGAGGATGTTTAGGAGGGTGAAGAACACAGGTACCCAGATGTGTCATCTTAAGCTGCTCTTCAAAATTACAGATTTAAACAGGACTCACAGTTTATTGCCTCTCTTTTACAAAATGCAGCATCTCTCAAATTTACAGACATACTCTTTAGTAGGAAATATGAATAATCATTAGAAATGCAAAGGAACCCTTGCTTTCTTTCAGAAGAAGCTAAGCAGTCCTTTCAGCACAGCAGAATGTTATAAGTGATCCTCACTGCCCACATTCAGTGCACATTACTTAACTCTTGCCTCTGGGTTAGGACAACACTGATAAACAACATCTGAGCACTCGCCTTGTAAGCCTCACTACCCTTGCAGACAAACAGGGCTTTATATTAGCAATATGCTTCCCACTACAGTAAATTTCCATGATTTGCTAAAATTTCCTCTCTTCTTTTCCTTTATTTAAAGGGCAAGTGGAGGAGAGAGATTCAGATTGATTTTAGCCTCTTCCTGTTCCCTGCTTAAAGGTCTCACAATTTTAACCTTTAGCGACTGAGCAAAATAGAATTATAACAGCAACCATGTGCCACAACAATCAGATAGCAAAACAAACTCCTCACTTACACAGCCTTATTGTGGATCAATGGAGTGAAAAAGGTGCTACAGCTGTCCACACAGGAGTCAGTGTGGATTTTGGAGTGTATTAAGACTCATAAAGAGTCTATTTTCCCTGCCCAGTAGAAGTTCCCAGGAGCCCTGAAATCCCTCCATACTTCCTCAGAGGAAGCATAATCACAGAGTACCTAAATGCAACATCTGTATAATACTTCAAGAAAATACTGATATTTCAGTGCAATATGAATAAAATTAAAGCCTCTGAAAGAGCATCAATAGGATTTCTCTCTAGGAGCACACGAAAATACAGGCTCAGCTGGGATCCCAGAAATTATCTACATGGCAGGTCCACACAGTTAATCACCTGCCTCAACACCTGACAATAAGTAGAGCTTAATATCATTATCCTAGAAAAATAAAAAGACAAGGCTTACTTATGTGGAAGAATTAACAAAGAAAAGCGCATCTCTAAGATAGCCCAAAAGATGTCTTCAGCCAACCTTCTTTTTCCACTGGATCAAATATGTGGTGTGCTTGCATGAAGCAGCAAGCTCAGACATAAAAAGCCAGGATTCCCCACTGCTGCCCAGAAGAGACCCGGTGGCAAAGTCTTGAGCATCTGACTTCAAACTGTTAACACTCCATTAATATAGACCGGTGGGGGAAAAAAAAAATTACATGCCCTGTTCCAAATCAATCAGGGTGGGAAAAGTATTTGTTATCTTGACAACAGTGACTTGCTGCAAAGGCCTGGCTCTGGAGTCTGGGATCCAGCTCCAGCAAGTCACAGGCAGGAAACAACAAACCAAACTAAGACATTGTGTACAACAAAGTTGAGAACATTACAAAGAGAACAAAGTCATGCATTCAAGAAAAGTAAATATTGAAAACAGGTCTGTTTGCCAATGTACCCTTGCTCTACTGACCTCTCCTTGCTGCCAGACACGCACCTGCATATGGGGATGCAAGACACCTTGCAATACCCTCCTCCTTTCTAGGGCATAGGGGAATGGTGCTTTGGAAACAAGCACACACTCAATTTTCCTTTGGCTCCTGATTTAACTGTGAGTGCCAGCTGTCCCTCTTTCCCTCAGCCATATTTATTACGTTTTATCCAGACACTGATTTTCCCCTACCCCTCCATGTGCTTGAGAGAAATGCATTTTGTTTTGTGCTCAGTGTCTCAGCAGAAGCATGCTCTGATGGGCACAGCTCATCAAAAGCTCATCAGGCTTTTTTCCCTGCCTTAGTCCAGCTGCATGGTACTCATCAGCTTAGCTCACATCTTCTCATGCCTCTGCATCACTCTCCAATAAATTTGTCTCCACCACCGACACTTGTCTTTCCCATTCATCGCTCCTTGTCCCAAGAGCAGTTCAAAAAGTCTTTTTTTTCTTTTTAATTTTAGACTGTCAGGATGAATGACATCAGTTCTCACCCCTTCCTGAATATCACAGTCCCTTCATCCTCCAACTGTATGCTATGTCCCACTCCATCTCCCAGCATCTTTCCTTGGTGGACACTTCGCTCAGCTGTCCTACTGCCTGTGGAGTCCAGCAGCTTGTCTGCACTGCCTGCTGCTCAAGAGGTGACATCCACACCCCATGCCACAGCCTTCCTGCTCTCAGCCCTGGCAGCAGACCTGGCTCTAGAACAGATGATCCTGTAACCATAGAGAGGCTCCTACTCAGCCCCAGGATGAAGCAGGACACATTTGGAAACAGGCTTGAGTAGTTACTTAGCATCTGTGGCCTGGGATTTAGGCAGATTTTTCTCAAGGTACTTTCTTGACACAAAAGCCATCATTCTTCTGAGTATCAAGTCTGAGTCCTTGAACAAAGGAAGTAGACACTTGAGCTTCTCAAACAATTGTCTCAATGTTTGAAGAGCATGGTGGATTTTTTTCCTTGGTATCTTAGGAACCACACAGCTATTTTGGCTTACACCATAAAATCAGGTGGCACCTCACAAATGGAAAGAAAATTTGGCAGAGTTGTAAACGACCAGAAAGCAATGCTTGCAGTGAGAAATATTAGAAAATCTTAGCAGAAGCACCTGTCTATTCAGGCTTCTTAACATTTCCCATATGACCTTTGTTTCTTTAATGTATTAACTTGTATCCGGTGTACTTTCTGAAACATAATTTATATGAACTTCTAATTCAAATCTAGTATTTCCTTCCTTTGTTTCTCCCCTAATAAATGCACAAAAAACCCCATACCAAAACAAAAAACCCAAAACATCATGGGATAAGCACTGTTCTTCTGTTTATTCACCAGAACAAAGAACAGAACATTTTTAGAAAGGCAGGGAACCATCCCTGCTTCTGCAGGAAATGTGTCCAGCAAACCCACAAAGCCCAGGTTAGAAAGGTAGAAAAGTGGAGGAAGAGGAGCAGGGCCACAGAGGATGGGAGAAATGCAGCAGAGGGTAGACTTTCTGCTCAGGCCCCCTCCCCATGCCTTGGGAAGCCAGTGTAAAACCATTAGGAGGAGGTGACAGTGAGGTTGAAATACCTGCACAACAAGCAGCCAGTTTTCCATGCAGAGCAGGAACTGAATTTTCCACTTAGTGACTCCTCAGTTTAGATTATGGGGACATCTCCTCTTTGTCTTGTTTGCAAGACTTATTAGCTCATGCACTTGGGGGAAAGGGTGGGAAAGCTTATAGTACATACAACTGTGGAAAGAAACTTCCCTCTGGGGTATGTGGAAGAAATTACATAAACATCCTCTGAAAGATCCCTGCATTTCTCCAAGGTATGGGTGGTGACAACTGCTACACAATTTCCCACTGCTTCTACACTGCTGTATGAAAGCAGTTAGTATACATTGATCTCTGCCACAAATGAAAGAAAGCAAATATTTGGGTTCATCCCAGAGTCTTTAAAGTATGAAACCTCTGTATGTTTGAAATTCTGTACAGCATTTTAGGTTATGTAAGTCCACTTATTTAAAACTGAAATTCAGTCTTAGAGCTTCATTACTAAACAGTTGGTCTACATGACAGTCAGGACTGTTTGTCCTACTGTCCTACCTCAACTACCTCAGCATACAAATGGACTAGAAATTCTTGCTCTCAAGGGCTGAACAGCTATTTCCATAGTAGGACTTCAATAATACTTTATGGAGAATTACTGTATTGAACAGAGCACCAAGGCAATGTCTGCAGCAATCTGTATCATAAGCAGAACTCTGGTACAACCCTATCCTAAAGCTTCCTCACTCTCAGCATAGTGACATGCACACACTGCTTCAAAAGATGTGAGGTCTGGGGCACCTCACAAAT